GCCGGAGGAGCGCGCACGCCCGCCGCGCCGACGGGCGGGGCTCCAGGAGGGCGGAGAGGAGGGTCCGCCCCGCCCCGCGCGGCCAGCCGTAGAGAGCCCAGGGTGTGACTAACCCCGAGTTCCCCCCGCAGGGCGACCCCCGCAAGGCTGCCATCCGCTTCCTTCCCTAGTTTTTGAGAAGTTGGATAAGGATTAAGGAGATTCATGGTCTATGCCCAATGACACACTGCAGAGAGTACGTGTTACGAAATATTAAAAGATAGGAGAACAAAAAGAAATTCAACATTTTAATTTTGATATAAATTACGTAAATACTTTCCAAAAAATATCTAAAATATTCCACTGTACAACACAGAAAAATGGTATGTGAGAAGCTAGAGACCAGAGAGAAACTGCGAAGAAGGCACGAAGTTTATTTACACTCACAATTGCATACTAAATTGTTCCATAATGCATATTTACAACCCTGTAAAGTTTTTGTATTCTGAATTATTCCTTCACATTTTCTGATATCTGGCATAATGTTCAAACACACTTCATACACACTGACCTCCTCTCCCAACACCACTCACAAGACTAAATAAATACTAGAGGACAAAATGAAGATCTTATTTGAAAGCATGATCTGCTATTTACTTCAAGATGACAGAAGAGGCAGCTCCTGGTGCTGGAACACAAGACTGAAGCACTGACAAGCTGTGATTCCTGGGAAAAGTGTATTAGCTCTGTTCAAGTACCAAGGAGGAAAACTGATACAAATCTGTCCAGCAGCAACGTGGCTGGCAGGCTGGTTTCTATGTCCCGTCGCTCTCATAGTCTTCTATGACCACGTCGTCTTCTTCCACATCTCCCTGGGCTGAAAAGGGCTGAGGCTGGCTGCCGGGCAGTTCACTCCCACCGTTCTGACTCAAAGGAAGAGACCAGGTCTCGGGTTCAGTGGTTTGAGTGGGTTCACCCAGAGCTTCCTCTGCAGGCTGCCTTCCCATAAGCTGGGCTTCATCTCCACTGTCGGCGTCTATCATTCCAGGCTCCCTGTCCGTCAGGGCTTCCATTTTAAATCTGCAGATTCATAAGGCAGGCATTAATAATAACCAAAGGGGGGATGCCTTTAAATTACATGGTGACAGTGATGATTATGAAGCCACATCCTCTAGCCTTTCGTTTACCTTCACTGAGCTCACCGTTTAGCCAGTTTATTTAATAATATAAACAAAAGTACAAGTAAATGACAAACTGTGAATAAATCATTACAACTCACAATACAAAGGAGTTGAATAACACTGAACTAATAGATAACATATTCAGTGGACATTACAGTAACAGCTCTTTGAAAATTAAAATGGTCAGCTTACCTTCCAAAGTGTCGCTTCAGAGGAAGCCTTCCAATATCTTGGATAAAAGAAATCTGAGCTGAAACAGAGATTTTAAAAAAGCTTTAAATAGACATTTCTCCAAAGAAGATATAGAAAGGGCCAACAAGCACATGAAAAGATGCTCAAAATTGCTAATTATTAGGACAATGCAAATCAAAACCACGAGATACCATTTCACACCCCGTAGGATGGCTATTATCAAAAAAACAGAAAACAACAAGGTTTGGCAAGGATGTGGAGAAACTGGAACCCTTGTACACTGCTGGTGGGAATATAAAACGGTGTAGCTGCTGTGGAAAATGGTAAGGCAGTTCCTCAAAATATTAAAAATAGAATTACTATATGATTTAGCAATTCCACTTCTGGGTATACACCCAAAAGAACTGAAAGTACAGTCTCAAAGTGATATTCTGTACACCCATGTTCATAGTAGCCTTATTCACAATAGCCAAAAGGTGGAAGTAACTTAAGTGTCTACTGAGAGATGAATAAACAAAATGTGGTTATATACATACAATGGAATATTATTCAGCTTTAAAAAGGAAATTCAGGGCCTGCCCGGTGGCGCAAGAGGTTAAGAGCGCACCCTCCGCTGCGGCAGCCCGGGGTTCGCAGGTTCGGATCCCGGGCGCCCACCAACGCACTGCTTGTCAAGCCATGCTGTGGCGGTGTCCCATATAGAGTGGAGGAAGATGGGCATGGATGTTAGCCCAGGGCCAGTCTTCCTCAGCAAAAAAAGAGGAGGATTGGCAGATGTTAGCACAGGGCTGATCTCCTCAAAAAAAAAAAAAAAGGAAATTCAGACAATGCTATGGATAAACCTTGATAAACATGTATGTGAAACAAGTCAGTCACAAAAGGAGACAGACCGTATGAGTCCTCTATGGGAGGTCCCTAGTTGTTGGAGTCTCAGAGACAGAAGGTAGGGGTGCGGTGGGGTGGGAGCCAGTGCTGAACATGTGTGGTTTCAATCTTGCAAGCTTACAAAGTTCTGGAGGTTGGGTGCACAACAAGGTGAATATGCTTAACACTACTGAACTGTACACTTAAATATGGTTTAAGATGGTAAATTTTATGTTATGAGGAAACATTTGTTCAAGAAAATCTAATAGCGAGAGTCTGCGGCATTTGAGCCATAACTGGCTCCTTCCCTTCCTCAGTTTTAGGGAGACTTCACTCCAGGTGGGTGCAGCGAAGGACACAGGGCTCCCTCTTGGTAAGTGTGCCCAGCCAAGAGTTCCAGGCTCCCTTTCTCCAGCCAACCCCACCCACAGGATGGAGGCTCCGCCCTAGTGGTGCCACAGGCTGAGAATACTGCCTCCTCCTCCACCTGCAATGGCCCTTCCCCAGCTCATTCATAGGATGCAGGGTCCACGCTGGGAGAGGCGAAGCCAAGATGACCGGAGGCTACCTCTGGTGGAGCATCCACCCAGAACAGTGGCTCAGGGGTTTTGCCCAGGGGGAAGAGCGTTCCATAGGAAAAGATAGCTCTGATGCTCTACCCAAAGAAATTACTTTATTTGAAAGAGTAGGGGTAAGCTCACGCCTAAGGCCCTCTTGAAATCAATGGCTCTTCTTAACTAAGAGCAACAGACTAAATATGAGCCAGCTAGTTCATCAGAAAGAACCAGAGAAAGAGTCAGCTAAGAGCAGCCCTCCTGGGGTCAGAACAAACCTCAGAGACTGGCCTCAGTCTATACCTGCCCAAATTTAATTGGATGACACTGTGGAATAATTTGCGTGCTATGGCACCGCTGAAAACAACGGACCAACCAGCCAGTAATTAGTGGAGCACAACTGGTGGGTGTGATAGCAAATGAGCAGGCAGTTTCACAGAAACATAGAGACGGAGAGAGCCCTGCTAAAACCACTGTCACTCGCATGCACACTTGAGTGCTGAGCTCTTTGCGGAGTGACAAAGGCTTCACAGTGCAGGGAAAGAGCCTCCACTCCAACAGTTTAGCCAAGTCACTCAACAAATAAACAAGCAAACAACAATCAAACAAGCCCCAGAGAGGGTGGAGGGGAATCAGTACCCAGAGCGGCTACAATATATTACCTAAAATGTCCAGTTTTCAACAAATATTACGAGACTATGTAAAGAAACAAGAAGTGTGACCCATTCACAGGAAAAGGGCAGGCAACAGAAACTGCCTGTGAGAGGGCCCAGGTACGACATTTAATACAAAAAGACTTCAAAGGAGCCAATATATTATGTTCAAAGAACAAAAGGAAAGCACGCTTAAAGAAGGGAGCTATAATGACAATGTCTCATCAAACGGAGAGTATCAACAAAGAGAGAAACTACAGACAGGACCAAACGGAAATTGTGGAATTGAAAAGTACAATAACCAGAATGAAAACTTCACCAGACGGGCTCAACAGTGGATGTTAGCTGGCAGAAGAAAGGATCAGTCAAGTTGAACACAGACTGACAGAGGTCACGCCATTGAAGAAAAGAGAGAAAAGAGAATGAAGAAAAAGGAACAAAGTTATCAGAGGAATGTGACATTCCTTTAAGCATTCCAACAAGCACTAATGGAGGACTAGAAAAGGGGACAGAGAGAAAGCAAGAAAAATATAAAGAAATAATGCCTGAAATGACACACTAAATAAAGTGAAAGCAATGGGATAAAAATTGATGATAAAAAAGAAAAGCCAAAACATCCTATTTTTGAAGAAATTTTATAAACCTTTTAAAGTATGCAAATCCAACACTATGAGGGTTCTTGGATACTTACCTTTTTAAAAATCCACTACACAATACAATCAGGACTTTTATAAACCAGCTTTTTGATATGGAAAACTGAGAGCTATGATCCTGGAATCTGAATTTTTAACTAGTGGATAAGTGACTCCCCAGATGAGTCCAATGTGAGTAATCTAAACCAGCACTTCTCACACCCCTCAAACATCTCATGCATGGGAACCACCTACAGAATCACGTTAAACGTGCACATTTTCAGATCCTGCATTTCAAGCTTCCAGGCGATGCTGATGCTCCTGGTCCAAGAAGACTCTTGCTGATCAAACTGTTTCTTGGTCCCACAGCTGGGAGTGGGGACCTGGAATGTGGCCAGCTTGCCAACGTGAGTCGGTGGTAGGGCTGGGACTGAGGGAACAGCCTGTGTTGTCAGGATACAGGTTACAGACAGAGGAATTGAGTAAACAAGTGAATAGACTCAGCAAAATGGGAGACAGATTTTTCGTTGTTCACGAAGGGCGGTCCAGGTACTGAAAGGGGAAGGTCAGAATGAGCTGTGTGGTGTTACACTGGAACGGAAGGTACTGGTGTGAATTGTGTTCTACACACACACACACACACACACACACACACACAACTTCCCTGCTTTGTTGCACTGAAAGAGCCTAGAAACAAGGACACTCTAGTAGCAGTGAGTACACCTAGTGCCCAGATCCTTGCTTCTAAATACCATTTCCACTAAAAGGAACCAGGGTTCCTTGAAATTCCTGAGTCCACGCCTGCGGCAGGGAAAGTATAAAATGATCTTGGAACATCTTTTATCAGAAAGAAAGTACTCAAAGAGTAATGGGGACATGTCGAAAGGCACAGAGTTACCTAAAGCAGCTTGCACTGGCCAAATCTGGACAACGTGAGACCAAAATAAATAATGACAGCAAGGAGCTACAACTGAAAGAATAAGAATCCCGAGTCCATCTGGATATAAACAGACAGACCAGGAGAAGGCAAAGCAACACCTCACAGTACAAGTCACCAACATAAATGCAGCAGGAGCTATGCCCGGAGAAAATTACCATTTACCAACCATCACAGCACCAGGAAATCATCGTTAATAGACGCTACAGCTAGTGGGAGAAACAGGATATTTCCATAGTCTCCAAGTATCTCCTCACAAAATACTTAATGACTTTTACACTGGAAAACCTGAGAGATATCATCTTACCAAATAAAAAAAGTTAACTTCGGTGTGATGGTGTAAATAGACATCATATTCTCCTGATGTGATGCACCGAGAAGAACACAGCATCACTTCTGTGGTATTCCTGCCAAAATACATATCCTGAATCCACTCATGAGGAATCATCAGGGAAACCCAAACTGAGGGACATTCTACGTTGTGACTGTCCTGTATGCCTCAAAAACATCATGGACAAAGGAAGACTAAGGTACTGTTCCAGATCAAAGAAGACTAGAGAGACATGGCAACTAAATAAGTACATCACGTGATCTTGCACTGGATCCTGGACGAGAAAGAGAACAAGTTTTTGTTGTTATTTTACAGAGGACATTATTAGGACAACTGGCAAAATCTGAATGGAGTCTATAAATTAGATGGCAGTAGTGTACCAACTTTAGTTTCCTGATTTTGATGTGTACAATGTGGTTATGTAGGAGAATGTCCTTGTTTTCAGAAAGGACACACTGAAGTGTTTAAGAATAATGGGCACCACGCCTGCAACTTAGTCAAACATGGTCAGAAAAATACACATATGTGTGTCCACGTGTTCATAAAGAAAGAGAGGGAAAGAGAATAAAAGGTAAATATGTAAAAATTGAACACTGAGGAATCCTGGTGAAGGATATTTAGGAATTCTTTTGTACCATTCTTGCAACGTTGTACCATTCTTGCAACTTTCCCTAAGTTTGAAATTATTTCAAAATAAAGTTAAAAAACTAATATAACCTTAAAGATAATAGGCAGGGATAGGGAAATCTCTGGAATCTGACCCACAGATTAATCGTGGCCATTGTTCAAGAGTCACCCTACTCCTGCCTATGAACGGAGAACATTTTAAATCTTTAACTACCAATACTCTTTTTTTTTTTCCCCAAAGCCCCAGCAGATAGCCACATGCCATAGTTGCACATCCTTCTAGTTGCTGCATGTGGGACGCGGCCCCAGCATGGCTGGAGAAGTGATGCGTCGGTACACGCCCAGGATCTGAACCCGGGCTGCCAGTAGCGGAGCGCGAGTGCTCAACCGCTAAGCCACGGGGCCAGCCTAAGTACCAATACTCTTAAAAGTCACAAGACAAGACTCTTATTGTACGCAGGTAGACATTTCTCAATAATCCTCTTTTCTGATCAGTCATAAGGCAACCCTATCTTTAAAATTTTTCAGAAGTTTGACGAGTTATGTGGTAGCTTATTAATATTTTTAATATTACACAAATTCTCTGTTCTACCTTGAAGATCAGCACCACAGACAATGGACCAAGGACTGTTAATGAAACGTGGCCCTTAAAATACACATTAAAAAAGAGAAAAATTGGTAAAGTTCATAAAAAGGCAAATCTCAGTAGAGATAAATTGTGCAAGTGTGCATTGCCATAGGTACACTAACATTTCTTCGCTATTATTTATAACTTCAAAACTTAGAAAGACAATATAAACATACTATTAACGGACACTGTTTGTAATACTGAAATCAACCAAAATATCTATCAATAAGGTTAAATAAAATTATTATAAATTTTGAAAACATGAGTTAGATTTGATATATGTTAGCATTGCTGCTGTTCTACGTGTTGAAATCCTAATCCCCGAGGTGATGGTATCAGAGGTAGAGCCTTCATGAATGAGATTAGTGCCCTGAAGAAAGGGACCCCACGGAGCGCTCTCTTGCACTGCTCTCTGCCATGTCGGAATACAACGAGAAGATGGCCATCTGCAAACTAGGAAGCGGGCCCTCAACAGACACTGGATCTGCCAGCACCTGGATTTTGGACTTCCCAGCCTCCAGAGCCGCTTCAGCACTAATTTATAAAACATGGAGCGCTATCCCTGGTACGTGACATAAGCAAATTAAAGCTTACACTTGATATTTGTATAGGCACAGAAAAAGTCCCGAAGAATTTACACCAATCTGTCAAAAGGAATTATCTGTGGTTATAGGGGACTTTCAACTTTTACTTTATATACTTCTGTATTATTTGATTCTTTCTTTCTTTTTTAATCAAAAAGCATGTATTAATTCTGGATCAAAAAATAAAGGGAAAAAAACAGTCTCACCAGTACATAGCAATGATTTGACCCACAAAAAGATACTGCTATAAAACACTGCTTCTTGGGGAAAATAAAAACCCATGTTATTACCTTGATTTCTCATCGGAATGGTTAGCAAAGCAAGGTATGGCAACAGGTGAGTTTGAAGGCATAAAGCTGGTAAGCAGAAGTCAGAAAAAAGTGCTTTTGCTGCCAGGCAATTTTCCCGATACTGTACAGAAGAAAAGAAAAAAGGATGAAATGAAACATAAAATTAAAAATATGGGTATGTATTCCTAGACAAACTAAGTTTATTATATCACAAAAGTGTGTGGGTTTAAAAACTATAAATATACTTTTAAGGGTTTATCTAATTAGTGCTTTATAACTGTCCCAGCATTATCTAACAAAAAAATATTTTACCTACACAACTATTTCACATTTGACATAACAGCAATAAGAATTTTTTAAGAGAGACTTAAGGTAGAAGGGAAAAAACCTTAAAAATCAAAGGAATTCTGTTTATGAGCATACACACATCACAAATTATGTGAGGATTTGTTTCTCAATGAAAGAATTAATTTTATGCAGTGAACACAGGCCAGCTGCAATGCTGGGCTGATACGGAGAGAAGCACGCTGTCTGCTTCGGGAGCTCAGTCTGAGAGTTCACATGTAACTCTAACGCACATTCAGTGTATGTGCTATAAAGAGCAAAGCAAGTCAATAAGGGACACCAATTGCTTAAAAGTCATGAAATTCTCCAAGAAATCTGTTGGAAAACATTTCTTAGGTAACACATTAGGCTCATACTGAGCCACATGATGTTAGCACTGGAAGACATCCGAGAGATGACCTGGTTCAGGGTCACAGACTGAGGTGCTCAGGAGCCAGGCCGGCGACGACAGTCAGTGCAGTGGAGCCGCCAGGTCAGCGGGACCTCCCCTCCCACCTCATGTGACACAGGGGCCAGTGCTGCCTCACTTTCCATTTTTTCAGGAGATTCCAGAAATTCTGAAGCCAGAAATCCATATCTGAGTTTTAAGTATTGTACAAATTTATTTATTTTTTATTTTATTTTTTTTTTGGTGAGGAAGATCAGCCCTAAGCTAACATCTGTTGCCAATCCTCCTCTTTTTGCTGAGGAAGACTGGCCCTGGGCTAACATCTGTGCCCATCTGCCTCTATTTTATATGGGACACCGCCACAGCATGGCCATCTGCAAACTAGGAAGCGGGCCCTTGGTAAGCGGTGCATCAGTCCACACCTGAGATCCGAACCTGCGAACCCTGGGCCACTGAAGTGGAGCGCGCGCACCTAACCACTATGCCGCTGGGCTGGCCCCTATTATTGTGCTAATTTTTTTTTTGTGAGGAAGATCAGCCGTGAGCTAACATCCATGCCAATCCTCCTCTTTTTTCGCTGAGGAAGACTGGCCCTGGACTAACATCCATGCCCATCTTCCTCCACTTTATATGGGACGCTGCCACAGCATGGCCTGACAACCAGTGCATCGGTGCGCGCCTGGGATCCGCACCTGCGAACCCTTGGGCCGTCGAAGCGGAGAGCATGCACTTAACCGCTGCACCACTGGGCCAGCCACTATTGTACTAATTTTTAAAGACTGCAATCCATTTAAAAAAAATTTGGTGTGTGTCGTATTCAACTTGTGAACCACTTGCTTTTGACCTCTAATTCAACCTCTACATTTATAGCTGTGGAAACTAAGTGCACATCAGCTGAAATAACTTGTCCACATGGTGAGAGGCAAAGCCAGGATTTAGTTTCAATTAAAACTAAAATATAACTATAACTATACTTTGATTCCAATAATAGTCAACTAATAAATAAAACATGTGTGTGCTTTCAAACTTTGTATCTTTTCTTTAAGAAAATGATTACACAGGGCCGGCCCTGTGGCTTGGTGGTTAAGTGCGCACGCTGTGATGCTGGTGGCCCGGGTTCGGGGCCTGGGTTCGGATCCCGGGTGCGCATCGAGGCACCACTTCTCTGTCCATCCTGAGGCCGAGTCCCACATACAGCAACTAGAAGGGTGTGCAGCTATGGCATACAACTATCTACTGGGGCTTTGGGGGCAAAAAATAAAATAAATAAAATCTTTAAAAAAAAAAAAAAAAAGAAAATGATTACACATTTAAGAAGACTGTCCTTTTTATGTTTTAACATAATTCTAAGAAAATTCTTAGCAACTATTTTTTTACTAAAAATGAAACATTTTTCTAACTTTTTAAATAATAGCTTGAGATATAGTTCACAGACTATAAAGTGTACAATTTGAAAGTGTACTATTGAAAGTGCACAATTCTTTTTTTTTTTTTTTTTACCTTTTTATTTATTAGAAACCACTGGGGTTTGTGCAAGGGTCGAAAACTTGATCCTCCTCCTTGGCAGTGAGCAAACCCTCGGGCTCTGTTGGAATGTATCACGCCTCTCGTAGCTATAGATGTACTATATCCCCTGAGTAAAGAGCGTGTCTAAAAGAGGAGACAAGATGTGAAATAAACAAGAGATTTATAAAATAGTACTATTGCTACCGCTGACACCAAAAAAAGACTAACCATATTAAGTGACTGTATTGTTCACTTTTCTCAACATCACTACAGCCCTAAAAATAACATGCTACAAAATTATTTAAAGCAAATGCAACTGAGACATAACAATCGAAGGCTGTGTGTGAACTCTGCCTGGATGCTGGATGGGGGCAAGGGACACAACTGCAAAATACATTTTGAGGCAACTGGGGAAATCGGAACGAGGATGGTACGTTACTGAATTCATGTCAGCTTTGTCAGCCGTGATGCCGCTGTGTGGTTGTGAGGGAGCAATGTCCCTGTGCGTGCTTCAGGATCAAGTGTCAGGATGCTTGCAGTTACTTTCCAGTTATTCAGCCAAAACAAATGTGCAAATAGAGATTAAGCAAACGTGGCAAAATGTGCAAAACTGGTGAGCAAAAGTTAAAGGTACACAGGTATTCACCGTACTATTCTTTCAATTTGTCTATAGGTGGAAAATTTCAAAATAGAAAAGAAGCAATATAAAAAAATCAAGCAAATGTAACTGCTGAATAGAGAAACTCTAAATATAACACAGAAACTATATCATAAATGTTTTTTATTGTATCTTTCCTAATTTTAATTATTAATGCTATTTTGTTGTGCAGCAGAACTTCCCAGTGGCAGAGACGTTTAGATTCTGGGCTGTTCACTACAGCAGCTACAGGCCACAGGTAGACGTGGGATATGTGCTAGTCTGACCCAGGAACTGGATTTTAATTTAATTTAAATAGCCATATGTGGCTGGTGCCTACTATACTGGTCAGAGTAGTGTTAAAATGTTAAGGAAAAACACAAATTTTATAGTGAATAACTTCAAATCTGTTAAAAAAATTGAAAAACTAACAAAGTACAGAAGCACCGTTCTTTCCCTTCTACCTACTTTTCAATGATTGTCAAAATTTCTGAATATATATTTTTATAATCAGAAAATAACCTTCAGAAAAAATTAATGCTATATTACCAGAAAAATCAGATTAACTGCTGAAGCTTCATTACAAACTCTAGGTTGGATGAATTAGTTTTATCACAGTTAAGAAGTTACATAAAATAACGTCAAATAATTAGGAATAAAAGTAAACTTTCTCTCTTAATTCTGAGGAAATAGTCACAAACGAAAACATTTAAGTCAAATGGTCTTACATTCCAGTCACCACTGAGGGTATCTGCAAAACTCAGAAAGTCACTGGCTCTCACAAGGTCATTTATTTCCATGAAGAAGTCCACGTAGTTCTGGTGAAGATATAAATTAAACACCTCTCCTGGCATGTGTGACATTTCTACGACTTCCTATAAAAAGACACATACACACAGTTTTGGTGACAAGGCAGTGGTCAAATGTACATGCCCACAAGTCAATCATCTGCATCTTGTAAGCAGTGCTCAGTGTCATCAAAGATGTTACCTCAGGCTGAACAAGTAACGTGTCCCGTTCATGCTCTGACAAATGCGGAGGCAGGCGAGGTGAGTCTAACTCTGTTAAAGATGCTCCTGTAAAAACATTTCTGTAATTATTACAAATGACACCATCTTTATAATTATATGGCACCTCTCATTTGAACGATTTTCAACACTTTAGGCACATAATGCCAAAAATACCAAGCAAGCTGTTAAAAATAAAACACAAGACAATTGGAAGCTTAGGGGAGCTGTCTCACCATCACTCTCAGCAAGAACTTCATGCAGAATCCTGACACCTGGATCATGGCTTTTCTAGAATTAAAATATTCTGTTTCCCAAAGCACTCTGCATTTTGCCTTCCCAGCTCTGCGCTTTTTTCTTTGGATTCTCATCTCCATACAGGTTTTTTTTTTTTTTTTCCAATAATTTTATTTATTTATGTTTTCCCCCAAAGCCCCAGTAGATAGTTGTATGTCATAGCTGCACATCCTTCTAGCTGCTGCACGTGGGACGCGGCCTCAGCATGGCCGGAGAAGCGGTGCGTTGGTGCGTGCCCGGGATCAACCCGGGCCGCCAGCAGTGGAGCGCGCGCACTTAACCGCTAAGCCACGGGGCCGGCCCTCCATACAGGTCTTTACTATTCTATCTGCTGTGTAGGAAGATGCTGCTCTCTGCACCAGAGAACAGGACCTCCCATTTCCTAATGCAAGACATTATAAATGAATGCTGAGGAGGGAAGAACCAGTGGGAACAGTCTCAGAGGTCCCAGGTGAGAGCAGCCAGGGACAGAGGAGTGGCTTCAGTCCCACCTAAGGCATGCTCCCTCATTTTCCTCAGGTCGCATGAAGGTTCCCACTTAGAAATCCCAATTTTCGACCAGGGAAAGAAGGAACATTAGCCTAAAACAAGGAGGAGGCCGGAGTGAGGAGAAAATGAAGCAGAAATATAGAGACAACAGAAGAGAAAGACACAAGGAAGAGAAAAGATGGAGACCAGGCACCAGAGGCAGCCCCAGAGCTTTACAGGAAGAGAAAAACAGTAGTTTGAAACAACTGGGTTTTTGGCAACCAGAAAAGTCTCAGAGGATAACAGGCAAGGGTGAAGCTTCAGTGAACATCTGTTCACACGCTATCTGTGACTCACTGCCGTAGCTATTTCACAAGAGATTTGAAAAACCGAGAGAAAATTGGGGATACTGTACACATAGGACTTTTTTTTATGGTTCATCATGATTATTTGCTTTTTATTATAACACATAAAGCTATCCTAAACTATGGCAATGATTTTCCTTCAAAGTTTTGCGTCAACTGTTTTATCTATATAAAAAGCATATCAGATCAAAAAAAAAAAGCAATGCCAAGTTTCTTCCTTCAGGATCATAAGACTGAAAACTGATATTTTCTACAAAAAGAACAGGAGTCCGGGACTTTTTAACTGAAAGAGACCATTTGGGAGCTTACAGATGGGTGACAGGTGGAGGGGCCGAGGGGAAGCAGGCATTAAAGACGGAACAGGGGAGTGGGACCTCAGCTGGGAAGAGAGCAGCTGGTGAAGAGAACAGAGAAATGTCAGAGCATCCAAAAAATCTGAAGCCACTTGGCAATTTGCCCAGGGCCCTGGTGGCCAGAGCTCAGTGCTAAGACGGCTTTGGGCTACCAACACTTGCCACTAGGTCTGCATGGACCAGAGTCTTCCCCTCACAAACTGCAACTGGAAAAATTTACAGAGGTAGAGATGGCCTACAGTTAGTTTTTATATTTAATCCACTCATTGTCCAAAAATACTCATTTTAATACATTTTCCTGCCATGTCTTAGGCATTGCCAAACAGTATCTGACCTAGCCCTAGCTCTTTCTTGTAACAGAACCAAATACATGACAGTTTTAAAAGTGTGGTATTTTATTTCAGTTGTCAGATTAATATCTAACAGATTAAAAAAAATGTATAAGGCTTTCTTACTTTTGCAATACAGTATTTTCCCCAAAGCTCTGAAGAGAAAGAGAGAAACATCTTTGCCTCCAATAGCTTGGGCCTCCTGACTTTCAAAAACTCGATCAGGTTTTTTTCTTCCTTTTGATTTTGACAGCGCAGCATCCGATTTTAATGAAGACATTCCTTTTTTCCTTGGCCATAAATTGTTCTCTCCTAAATAATATACACCCAAGTGACAATATTTAAAACAAAATTAAAATATGAAAATTAAAACTGAGAACATTTCAGATATAGTTATACTAAGTATTCTAGTTAAAATATGTTTTTCTAATAATTAATTATAAAATATATGAACTGAGAGTCCTTTTCGGGTTACTAACCTATTAAAATGGAATAAAATGTCATCTGAAAGTATCTCATGACACAGATTTCAAATTTTCACACACAAATGACACACTCTCAGAGTCATGTCACCCTGATTTCTCACAGCATTATGTGCAAGGTACTGTTCCTGGTGCATGGTATGCATTAACCAATTTGATCCTCATAATGACTCTCAAGGGAGAACTATCTCACGATTAAAGAAATGAGCTGCAGGGAGGTGCAGCAACTGGTTCCAGGCCGTCACTAGGAAGTGATCTGCACCCAGGCAGGCTGGCTCTGAATCCACGCTTAACAACTATTCTACATCACCTCTCTACTGATTGGGCAGGCTCCAATTTATGAACATGCCTGTGTTCAGATTTCACTGGTAAACTTACTGTTTAAACCTCAGAATGCGTCACTTAAGAAAAGCAGCCTGGAATAGCAGAAAGAACACAGGATCTGGGTTTTAATCCCAGTACTGTCTATCTCATTAGGCTGGTCTGAGAATTAAACGAAAAAACATATAATTAGCTAACACAGTTCCTGACCCACTCAAAAATTATCTTCTTCTCTTTAAAATTTCTGAGCCCAGAGTAAAAATGTTATAAACGGTAGTTAGGATCCCCAAGTGTCCCACTTCAGCCTTCCCAGCCCATAACTCCAGCAGTGAACCTAAGCACCATTTACATTCATGTTTCTACAGGAAGTAGCAGAATTCTGGCTTCAGTTGTGTTAGGCTGCCTGTTTCTCTACAGTTATTTTGAAAAAACAAAGACGTAAACTAAATGAACACGTTATACTCATGGGTAGAAACTACGATTTCAGGTGGATTTTGAGAGCTTCAAAGATGGCTTTAATTTTTTAAGGCGAATTCCTCAATGTTAAGCACCAACTAGGTCACTTGTTAAATGTTTTCTGATGAGTACACTAGTCATTACCATTAGTGGGGCTATCCCTTTAACACAGCATGGCTATGCACACTTTTTACATAGTAATAAGCAGAAATTACTTTATTAAACATATCATATATAAGTGATTATGAAATAAGTTCAAAAGTGAGCCTACCTCAGCATAATACTATTAAATTCATTAACAGCTGGCCACTCACTGAGCTCTTAACACATGTCAAGTATCACCTCCCTTACTCTTCACACACTCTATGTAACAGGCTCTCACATAAACAAACAGTGAGAAAACAGAGGCCCAGGAAGATGAAATCACTGGTACGTGGCAGAGCCAGGATTTTGACCCAGGAAGTCTCATCCCAAATTAACTTCGAAAGGCAAAATAGCAACGACAGAGATGAATTGGGTTTTGTCTCAGATATACGGGTATATACGACGACATCTTCAGAAGGGTGTGTGTGCACGTGTACATACAGAATTTTATGACAGTCTCAATAAAGAAATAGTAAGTGCAGATAGGTACACATCAATTATAAGTTAAAATATGTTTAGTTCGATTTCATTTCATGAACAATGAAGAGAAAGTTAGTCACCTGCATAATGCTACAGAATGTACCTTCCAGAGTTACCTTTTGAAGAAAACTGGAGGCTGTTGATTGCACTTCTGATATCGCCACAGCATCCTTGACAGAGCAACTCTAGAGAAGTTTTATCAGGGACAATGATACTTCCTCCATTCTGAAATGAGAAAAGGAAAAATTAAAAAACTGTTTTCTAAAACAAAACAAACCCCACCCCCCCCGCCTATTTTCCAACCTAAGTGGAAGTACATTAGAATCTTTCAAATTTGAATGCTAAAAAGCTTCCATGTTAAACACCGGTCTGCTTATGAAGGTACAAGTATCAGTGACTTATAATCTCAAGAGTATAAAATACTGTCTTACTTGGACTAGGTTATATTTCGAAGTTCTCTATCTCTCATTATATATACATACATATATACAGACATAATACACACGTATATACACTCAAGAGAGCCCAAAACACAAAATAACGCAATAATATACACACGTATATACACTCAAGAGCCCAAAACACAAAATAACGCAATAAAATCAAGTACACAAAAAAATTTGACAAATCTTTGCAATTTACATGAAAATCCCTACATGGGTTTTCAACATTTTAATACAGTCTGTTGAGTATAAAAAAGTCACAACTGCATCAACGCGTATTTAAAGCCTAAGTTTTAAACAGATATTTTATATAAAATCTATGTATATTTTTAAAAGCTATGTATGCAAATTAAACGATATATATATACACACACACACATATATATCTATGTGCAGATATGTAGATATATCACACATCACACCCTTGGTAGTTTAAGTATAACGCAGGAAAAGTTCATCTACCCTTGATCCCCTCTCAGAAACCCCTAGTGGTTTACTGACAACATGACTTAAGTTGAATTCATGTGACGGTTCATAGATCACCCCATTTTACATCTTGTAAAAATTGATTAAAACAGAAAAATGATACTGTGCTACAATCTTTCAATATATATTTTTATTTTAACCTTATTAACCAAGCTGTTTCAAAAATCTTTATGAAGTTACTGTCTTCTGTTGGTCTCCGCAAATCCTAAACTTTGTCACAACCGTTAACATTCTGGTGAGTACCTTTCCAGACCACTTTCTGTGCACAAATACCTATAAGTACATATAGTCACACAGAGTTAATTTTTAAACGTAAGTGGGATATTATATGTATTATTCTATGACTTGATCTTTTTACTTAATACCATTCTTTGTGATCTTTCTATGTTAGTACCTTTAATCTATTTCATTTGTTAAAAATGTTATGAGTATACCATAATTTGTTTGTTTGTTTTTTTTTTATTTTTTCCCCCCAAAGCCCCAGTGGATAGTTGTGTGTCGTAGCTGCACATCCTTCTAGTTGCTGTATGCGGGACTCGGCCTCAGGATGAACGGAGAAGTGGTGCCTCGATGCGCACCCGGGATCCGAACCCGGGCCACCAGCATCGCAGCGCGCGCACTTAACCACCAAGCCACAGGGCCGGCCCATGAGTATACCATAATTTAACTATTATTTCTTCCAATAAAGGAACATTGACATTGTTTCCCCTTTTCCACCATTACAGACCTATATATGTGTGTCTGCCAATGCATGAATATTTCTGTAGGATAGTGCCCTCCAGTGTCTGTAACAATTACCTACCATTCTTTGTGATCTTTCTGTTAGTACCTTTAATCTATTTCATTTGTTAAAAATGTTATGAGTATACCATAATTTAACTATTATTTCTTCCAATAAAGGAACATTGACATTGTTTCCCCTTTTCCACCATTACAGACCTATATATGTGTGTCTGCCAATGCATGAATATTTCTGTAGGATAGTGCCCTCCAGTGTCTGTAACAATTACCAATATCATTTTTCTTACCCATGGTATGTGAGAATGTCCATTTTTCCATATCTTTGGCAATCCTGTTATCAATCTTTTAAATTTTTTGCCATCTGATATGTGAAAAATGGTACCTGGTTTAAATACACTTTCTCTGACGACTAGCAGGCTGCACACCTCTCACGTTTACCTGCACTGGCACCTCCTGTGTACTGGCTTCTGTCCTTAGCCGCCTTCTGTTTATACATTCAGGTGTTAATGCTCTGTCTGTTTCATAAACTGCAAACATTTTCTTCCATTCCTATGCTCGTCTTCTCACTTTGCTCACCGCGCCTTCTGTCACTTCCTGATTTTCTTTTCTTTGAAGCAAATCTATGGCTTTCAGGCTTTTGTCTCCTGCTCAGGAAGACTTCCCTCCAACCCAAAGTCAGCGTTTTTTCCTAGCACTCTTCTCATTCTGAGTTTTTGCACTGAAACCTTGAACCCACCTGGAAGGCACTTCTGTGTGCAGTGTGAGTGAAGATGCAGCCTTATGTTTTCCACACGGGTATCCAATGGCTCCCAGGCCACTGGTACCCACACCAGCCTACTCTCTCCCCAGGGACGGAAAATGCCGCTCGCATGTCACAGAAAATCCCCACGTACACACATCCACCTGCTTCTGTGCTGTGCTCCCACCATTCTTGCACTGGCCTATCACCGTCTGATACAAACGGCTGTGATTTCTAGGTTGTACCGTGCTCCAACACCCAGAGAGCAACCTGGTACAAAACTTGCTTGCTCGTGCCTGTCAATTTCTCTTCCAGATTAACCTCATTCTTATGTGAATACATTTAATTTAAAAATTGTTTTGAGACGAGTACTTGTTTTTGAAAATTCTAGATATGGATTACTTGCCAAAAAGGAAATGTAATTTGGAATCACAGTCCTTGGTAGCTGAAGGAAACACCATGGATGTTAAGTACTATGAACAAGCAAATGTGGCTGCAATGTGTGATCAGCAGTTCCTTCCACATTTTATATACTTAATGATATCAGAAAAGACTAAAGATCTTTTTTCTTACAAAAACAGAGAAATATCTATTTAAACTTAAAAAAAAAGCCACTTAAGATATTCAACACTCTTATTATAACTGGTTCATGTGAGATGTCAACACTCTTTCTTAACAGAGGTAACCGAGCTACAGAATGCCAGAGAGCAAACTCTTCTGTAGATCTTCCTAGACCATGACCACCATCCTTGGGGACCCCAGACAGCATCCTAACACTTGCTCTTATAAAAGCTTGACGGACGTGACAGTGCGCTTGTTGCCGCTCCTGTGATGCAACGTGTCAACGATGACATCAAAAGCATACTAGCTCTCACGCTCTTGCAGGTCAGCTATCTAAGGTACAGCACGTTAACTACACAACAAAGAAGTTACGGTACCTCTTTTTACTAGTATAATACAACTTGCTAAGGTAAATGCCATTTGCAATATTAATGACTTAGTCTTAAAAGAAGTTTTGGGTTAATGTGATAAAGTAGTATGATGCTGATTATTTTTATTATTTCTTAATGTTTGTTTAATAAATAAAATACTTAAAACTGTAATTTATAGTTACCATACTCACAGTAGAGAATGTAGAAAGATTTTTTTTCAAAAGACAATAAAAAAATCACAAGTCATCCTATCATTCAGAACTCATCACATTTAGCATTTTTATGTACTTTCTTCTACTATGTATAGGTTTATGTATATCTGTGCATTTTGTTGTTACTGACAATAGTTTGTTTTGTTTTAGCACAGTGAATTGGAGTCAGAACAAAACTTTGAATCCATCTGATACCTAATAGTTGTGGGATATTATGCAAGTTATTTCCCCACAAAGCTCAGTTTCCTTACCTGTAAAATGGGGATAATGTACCAATTTTGTATGGCTGTGGTGAGGTTTAATAAGATCAGGTACGTAAAAATACTTTGCATAGTGCCTGACAGATATCAAGAGCTAAAGATATCATTTCTCTGGTTAGCATTATCATATAACTTCGTATCTTGTTATTTTTAACTGGACACTAACTTGCATTTTCCCATGTCACTGAATGTTCTTAAAACACTAATTAACGACATAACAGTTCACCATAGTAACTGCTCCATCACTGGACTCTGTTTCTAATTTTTCACTGTTAATAGTTGTTATCTATTCAGCTAAGTGCTTTACACTCATACACTATCTTGTTTAATCCTCAAGACAACTTCTCCCTTGATTTCTCAGTTCCTGTGATCCCAGCAGTGCAAACAAGACTTGTTTCACGTAAGATCTAGTTGATTTGTAACAGTAGGGCCCCCCAGAACCATGCTGCTGGGAGTAGCAGTTCCATCAATTCACTTTAATATCATCTTGATTCGAAAGACATAAAACATGATGATTAAAAGTGACAACAGCTGTTTTTCAACAACGTTAATACACCTAATGCTATTGAACTGTACACAAAAATGGTTAAGATGGTATAGTTAATAATACTGTATTATATATTTGGAAGTTACCAAGAGAGAAGATCTTAAATGTTTTCACCACAAAAAAGAAATGGGAATTATGTGACATGATGGAGGTGTTAAATGATGCTATAGTGGGAACCATTTGCAATACATAAGCGTATCAAATCAATGGGTTATACACCTTAAACTTACATGACGTTATACGTCAATTATATCTCAAAGCTGGAAAAAATGGTTAAGATGGTAAATTTTATGTTTTTTACCACAATAAAAAAAATTATCAAATAAAAAAGAAGTGACAACAGGAAAAAGTAGAGTTGGACTATTGATGACTAACATATCTAGATGCCAGGAAACAGTTTCTTGATAATAGACTCAATTTATAACAATAAGCCAAGCAAAGGGATATCTACCTCAATGTGAAAGAGAAAGCTAAGCTTAATAGTGGAAAAAGGCTGAGGATTTTTTAAATCACCATTTCCTACATTTTCTAAAATGATATGGCTCATGAGCATAATAAAATTTTTTAATTCTAAAAACTGAAGTAATAGGTGTCTCTAAATCAAGTTTACACAATAACACTTAAGTCTGGCTTTCCGTAAATACCACGTAAGGTTCAAATTAATCAGTTCTTAAGAGACTTACCTTATTAGCTTCTCTTGTCACTATTCGATTAAGAAATTTCATCATAATTGTTGGTGCCACGGGGTTGAAGCTGTTAAAGTTTTACAAAGAAAGATAGTGGTTACATGATTAATTTAAAAATGCACCGTGTAATGTGAACATCACAAGCAGAAACTTCATTCTCACCTAATGTTCGCTATAGCACACTCCTGCTGAATCTCTTTGGGAAACAGTAACCTTTGACTGTTGTCTCCACTGAGACTGTCAGAGACTATAAATACTAGAGGACACCGACCCATTTGTACATACTTCCTGAAATAACAAAATACAGCAATGCTGAAATTTAAGCCATGTGCCATACAATTTGGAGTTTTAGAAAACTTCACTGAAACTCACCTTAGCACCTCATGTAAAGTATGAGAATCTCGGTAAAACTGGTTAGGTAAATCCTATTGAAAACACATGAGAGATATGAGTTCAGTTTTATTCCCACGTAAATTTATTTTCAGATTTATATTTACCATGACAGGAAAAAATGCTATCTATTCAGTGTATTACAACTAGAACTTTTATAGAAATTAGGGGAAACGTGAAATAGCTGACATTCTAAACAGTAATATGCATCAATGGGAAACTCAATTTTCAGAGCAAATTTCTTAGGGTCACTACTAGTTATGGTATTTTCACTAAGACATCCTTTTCCAAATATTTCTTTTACTTTTCTACACTTAAGCCATTAAATTTTTCAAGTTCATTAACCTATAGCTACTCTATTCAAGTTTACTGAAAAAGATTTTAGGTTTCTGCTACCACAAAGCCTTTATGTTATACTTGATGTCAGATCTGCTATATTTTACCACTATTAATACTATGGAGCGAGTAAACATCATTATCACATGAGACGTATCTTGCAATTGTTTACTCAATAGTTCTAGCAGGATTCCAAAAGCTGTCCTTACCTCAACCAGAATTATCTTCTTATCAGTTCTCAGATCATCTCCAAGCATTTGTAGTTTGTTATATTTTGTTGCTCTTAGTAGAAACTCTTTAAAAACTGCTATCTGAGACTGATAGGGAAATACATGGAAGCTTGATTCTGAAAGAAAACATATTTAACACTTTTATTTTCAACGAATTATATATACATCAATATCACGCATATACACGTAATATACACGTATACATTAATGAATACATTTACGTATACATGAATATATGAAGGAGGTCACAATACTGTAGACTGTTTTTTAAATATGCAAACCTGTTCAAATTTAAAATAGGATATTCATTTCAATAGAAAAGAGTCATTGTGCACAACAGTAACTTTTCTATACCAATGAATATAATACGGAGTCACTGACTTCAGAACACAGCTGTCAGTAGAACATTCACACAATTGGTAAAAATATTTATGACTTTGCCTACACGATGAAGACTCTCCAAATGAGTATGTGACTATAAATGAATTATTTTCAATAATAAAGGTTTAACAACAAAAAAAGAATGATTGATTAGTGAACCTGGGAATAAAGAAGTTCTCCGAAGACATGTTTTATATAGAAGACTGTTTACAAATAAAGACTTGCTAGATTGTCAAAAGTAATGTCACCGTTTAGAAAGCAGTAAAAATTTCAGGAGCGCGGGATCCCAGCAGCGTAAGGGTGTACATACTAAAGATACAGCATTCACAGAGCATATTAAAGAAGATTCCAGAAAAGGAATTTTGAGGAATAGTCCACATTAAAATAAAATTGTCCTTCTACGGAACTCCTTTCACTTCCAAGTGGCCCAGGAGATCTGGCTACCCCTCGTTTAGTTACCTACAGTAGCAATAAGAAAAAACTATGTAAGTCAGAAACGATGGTTCTGGAGTACATAAGCATACATGTGAAGTTATAATGTACTACATCTTTAAATTGGTACCATTATTATTTTTGGATGTTTGCCTTAAGGCCTCCTTCCAAATTCCAAAGACAGTCTTTGCCTTATGCTTTGATTTGATTCCAACAGGTCTGACTTAAGCTCTCTAGTTTGGAGGCAAGTTTCTTTACCACATCTTAAGGCCTGATTTACATTTAAACAAAAAGATTTTATTTACACTAATTTCCTAGCCAGAGTCTGGAAAAAAGTACATAAATAATGCAAACAGATTAGCTCATTATCTAACAACACAGTTAAGAGTACGCCTCAAAGAATCCCACCCTCCTCTACCGGAGGCACCTTTCCCTGCCTTCTCCTGAAAGGACTTCTCTCTGAACTGCGAACCATGGGAGAAAACACACCCATAGAGTTTCATCTGACTGCTACTCTGACTTCGTGAAGCAGCTGGTAGTGGGCAGACGCCAATCTACTACAGGAGCGGCAATCTATACCTTCCTCTCAAAAACACAGACCCAAAGGATCTTAGGAATCTTAAGGATATAGATGGGGAGTTTGTTTCCAAACTCCTTTAAGCACAGACTCTCCCCAGTATTTCCACTACCTTCACAGCAAACCTTACCAGAATTAAATATCTCCTTGAAATCATCTTTTTGGAAGTCTGGTAAAATTGGATTAATCCACTCTTGTACTTGAATACCATGCTCCTTTGATAATATTTTTATAGTTGTTGTTTTTCCACATCCAGGAGGACCTGTTATTAATAAAATGGATCCACCCTGAAACCAAATACAAACATTAATTAAAAATCAAAATCATTGGAATACTAGAATATTATGTATGAATTTTCTTTCTAAATATTATTTACTGAATGTCTGGTATAAGCAGACTAAATTTCACAATGATGGTAGCTGGAATGAACAAATTTTAGATAAAATAAGAATCTTATTTTATCTAAGTGTAGCTTCTGATAATTCTTCAATTCTTGCATTATGTCCTTCCCAAGGACCACTTAGTAGCCAAATTAAAACTAAACTTCAGCTAGATTAAGAGGTAGCATCTGAAATAAATATTTTTAGAGGTTACCTGAACTCATTAAATTCAATCTCTCTGGATTATATACTTTAATATTATACTTCTTCTTCTTATGGAAATATTATTATTCTTAATACCATTCTTCGTCTTACGGAAAGACCTCACTTTGGATATCAGATTCTTTAAGAAATGGGTATTAAGAAACATATTTTTAATGGAGATAGGACTTTAACGAGAGATTAGAGGTTGTAGGTCCCAGTAATACTCCCTTACACAGTAAATCTGATCAAGAAGTTAAAGCTCAAAACATATCAGGGCGTTCCTACCTCCAACGGGGGCTGTGACCCTCATGTGCTTACCTTTAGGAACAAGAGTAAGGACGGGCCTGTGTGCTCAGACCCGGGAGAGAGCCAGTTCCACTATTTAAAGGGACGTGTACGAGAGTGACAGCGCTACTGGCCACGAGTTGAGTCTTAATGATTCAATAATATATGTTAAATAAGGTGTCACACAGAACACATATAACACAAGGTTATATATTGATGGGTTGACGCAAATGTGACCAGAGGAACACTAGTATTGGCAGGAACTTAACTCTATATTTCTCTTAGGAACAATGGTCCAGTGTTTGCTAATTCTTTGCTTGCAGTAACTTTACAGAACATAACTAATGCAAATAATGGGAACTGACTGCTTCCAAGTAGACTATTTTTAAAAAAAGACGAGGAAGGTCAAGCATGGGCGGCCGTGTATTTTTCTCGTGTAATAGAGTTGAGCATCTGTTTTCTGACACAGTGACTAGAGCCACAGAGCAAAAGTTTTGCTTCCAGTAGGAGAACTGGGAGGTAGTCTCCTATCACAACACTGAAATGTAACCCCTGCTGTCTACATCATAAGAGAGTTCTATGATATTGTGAAGGAAAGAAGCTGCCCTGAAAAATTAAACTCAGCAAATATCTGAGGTACTTAAATTCTAAAAAATAATAATTTTAGCTTGCTCATAGAGAAATCTAAAAGTTACCTCATTTTTTAAAATAAAAATGTCTTGTAATTACTGACATCATTGAAACTTTTGTATAATAAAAGAGCATATGATTGGTTCAAGTCCAACTTCTTAGAGGGAAGAAGCTTTTAAAACTGTAGCGAAAATACTTTCCCCAATACCTACGTATATACACACACACCTAAATTCATCCAATTCGTAGAATAATAACAGTAACACATGTAGGTTTAAAACATGATAATGTTTACACTAAAAAAAGTACAGATAAGTGAGAAAACACAGTGGACACTAAAAAATATAAACTATTAGCTGGGCTAACCAAACAAATCAATGAGAAACAGCCCGGAGGTAAGAGGCACATCAGGGCAACTGCCCAAGAATCTGCAAAGAGAAAGGAGAGATTTTATGAGCCAGCAGAGGAAGACTAACACTGACACCGAAAATGCACCTTGAATACATTATCTAAACCCTAACCAGAGGGTTAGATCCACAAGCCATACAGGAAGGACCCTGATTCAAAAGAGAAGGATCTGTTACCCCTGGAGGAAACCAGAACACCAACCACTTCATCTCAATGTTGAAAATTAACGGGAATGACTGAAAATTTATCCTGTCCTTCCAACTGAAACTGTATTTAAAGGTAACTACATAGCCCCAGCTAGTGACAGCAAACTTTTCTTTATAGAAAAATGCCAGCTAACAATTATAGAAATAATAATAGAATTTAAAAATCACCATTTCACAATCTTAACAAAATAACGGATTCAGGCAAGGACTGAACTTGGATGCTACAGCACTTATGTGAGACTGCTGGGGAAGTGGACACCTAGACGTTGCCGAGTGTCTCCCCACAGGTCACGTGCCAGTGTAACACCACCAGCTCCTCGATCTAGTGAGTAAACCGAACAGCAAAGATAGCAGCAGAACCAGACTTATTTTCTGATATGATGCAATATAACATATACACCATGACCTATACAGCATTCTTGCAAAAATGTTCAACTTGAGCCTCATCAAGCCCTTGATTCAAACTTCCAGGTTATAGGAAACATGGGACAGAACAAGTCAGTCATCACGAGGAGGAAACACCCTGACAAACCCAGAATGTGAGACTTCTACAGGTCCACTGGCCTGTGTCTTCAATAAGTCAATGTTGTGAAGAGAACGAGAGGGTGAAGGGGACTTCTAGATTTAAAAAGACCTAAGAGAGAGAACAACCAAATGCAATGTGTGGTCCTTGGTTAGATCCTGGTTGTAAGAAACCAGCTGTAAAAGACATTTTGGGGACAACTGGAGAAATGTGAATATGAACTGAGCATTAGCCAACATCAGGGAACTGCAGCTAATTTTGTTAGAAAGAATAATGGTACACATAATTAGAAAAATGCCTTTTTCTATCGAAACTTCTAAAAGTCTGACTGAAATGTCACGTTTATAATTTACTTTAAAATACTTAAGGAAGGAAATGATGGGTATATTTTGGGTATATAAGTATTCATTTGCTATTCTATTTTTATGTTTGAAGAATCTCACAATAAAAAAAGTACAAAAAGAGAGAGAGAATATTCTAGCTTGGCGGCCGATGAAAATTGTAGAACTAGGAAGTGAAACAAAAAACACAAGTGTAAAATGAATGATGACTGTTTTAGGCTATATTTAGTACAAAAACTAGTATGTAATTTGCCTGCTTGCTTCAGTGTGAGATAATTGGATGTACTAAATACACCAGCACCCTAACTGGTTTACTAGGCTTGATGTTGACGACAGGACATAAGAGGGAACAAGAAGTGCAGTGAAGGGGAAACTCAAGGCCCTGAGTCTCACTGAGGCCAGAAGTCGAGGCCAGAGAGCTTTCTCCTATGGGTGATCTAGACTTGGCTGAACACAGTCATCATAAAAGACAGCCAACTACAAGTCAGAGAAGCATCTGATGTTAAATATTTAAAACACTGTTCTTACTTACCTGTTTTGGTTGCCTTTCTAAGACTGCAGCTTTTAACCAGGTTTCAACTTCTTCAATTTTCTTTTTATGCACAGCAAGTTCATGCTAAAAATTTCAAGTTTATTTTTAATGAAAAACCTAGCAAACAAGTAACATGATGTAGTAATAAAAAAGGTCCTTTTGATTATACTTAATTTTTTATATTGTTACCAATTCTGTTATGAATTTTGTTCTTAAGCTGACACTATTGTACGAAAATTCTGGGCAGGTTTGAAATTGTAAAGTTTCTTTAAATCCTAAAATACATTTTGCGAAGTGAATAAATAGGGAGGGATATTACATTTAGCAAAAAATAAACAGATCAATTCTATGCCGGGGTTAAATTAAATCTAAGACAAATAACCAATGGTACATCTTCAGAATAAGTTGAGAAAATCTGAGCCTTGGAACATAAAAAAACCTAGAAATTACTGTTTTTTTTCCTAATTCATTTAGACAGAAAGACTTTTATGAGTAATAATCTGAAAATGTACATCCCCCTCCTTCCTGAAATTAAATTACGTAGACTTGTTGGCACGCTATTTAGTACCTGAGTTTCTGGTTTGTATTTGTCCACCCATGGTTCATTTTCAGACAGATATTCTTTTGGATTTTCTAGACCATAAACCTGTTCTGAGGAAGACAGTTTTCCTCTTTTTCTAGCTGGAAATCTGCTACTTTCTAATGTGGAAGGCACATTTTTTCTTCTATGACTTGAGTTATTCACACCAAATGATGTAGCAGTAACAGCAGAGATGCCTGTATTCCCCGAAAAATCATCAAATGATGGGTCTACCCAATCTGTTACCTGAAAAAAAGAAATCATGTAAATATTATTACATTTTTTTGCATCTATTTGCTATATAACTGAACTACTCTGCAAAAAAATATATTCACATATTTGCAACATTTAAAATAAAAACCTCACGAATTAGCTCTTTAAAGAAAACTATCTCTATATTTATTAGTTATTTTTCTACCTTACAATAAGTGCAAATGCGTACTTGTCTACTTGACCATGGTAATGATGAATGCTATATAAAGGAATAAAGAATACAAACTTAATTCTTTTTATTAATTGTAATCTTCCCAGGATAAAGAGTAGGCTGATTCTTTTTAAACTCATTTGTAGGACTGAAACATAAATATTAAAATTACCTACCAAGAGAAGCAAAACAAGATAAAGAAATAAACTGACATTACTCTAACCATGTACAAAGGTAAGAGGAGTAACGCTCTGCCTTGACCAGGTTAATACGTTCACAAACTAAGAATCATTTCATACATCCAAATAATCCCTATCTGCCTTAAGACTCTGTGAAGATACAGTCTAAGAATCCCGATGCTATGAATAATTCGTAATTATGACTTGATTACATTTTTCTTCAGCCCATGAAGCAAATAATATTTTTATAAAAGGGAGGCAAGCTTTCCAGGGAGGAAGATTTGTCAGATTTGTCTAGGAAAAAGAGTACTGGAGCAATTGAGCAGGGCAATCAGTGACTTCTATTTCATGCTCTTTTGGTTTGCACAGAGTGCTCACCTTTCTACATCTCCCTCCATCATTTCCTTTTCTTTCAAATTCTTGGTAAGTGTACAGAGAAAGATGATGAATGGAGCAATTTTAACCTAAAAATATCTAGGAGTTTTTTTTTTCTTTTGTGAGGAAGATCAGCTCTGAGCTAACATCCATGCCAATCTTCCTCTTTTTGCTGAGGAAGACTGGCCCTGGGCTAACATCCGTGCCCATCTTCCTCTACTTTATACGGGACGCCGCCACAGCACGGCCTGACAAGCGCTGCATCGGTGCGTGCCCGGGATCTGAACCCAGGCCGCCAGCAGCGGAGCATGCACACTTAACCGCCACACCACACAGGGCTGGCCCCAAAAATATCTAGGAGTTTTAAAAAGGCTTTTTAAAAATTAGAATTTTTAAGATGTGTTTTCTTAACTTTACAACAGAATAAATCTAGAAAAATCTAGCTTAGTACCTGGCTTTTGAAATTCCCTGCCTGGCTAATAAGTGGGAACCAAGATTATATTTTCCTTGAAGAATACTCAGCCATAGTTGTGAGTCATTTATTAGATAATGCTCCTTTCTGGGAGAAAAAGAACCAGAAATTGGAGCTGAAAGAAGGCTCAGGAGAAGCAAGCTGGGGCTTATAAGTATTTTATGAATGCAAAGTCACACTTCATTCCTCTTTTAAGGAGAGGATTAGGAATATTATCAGCAGTGGGTAAAAAAAATGAAAACCTCTGGGAGAAAATTTTAGGCATAGCCACCTAATTCATTTCCTCTCTCAAAAGACTGTCACTATGCTACAATTTTGGGCCCTTTCCTCTATTTTTAAGAGTACATAAAAATATTATGTTACAGTAAACCTTTTGATAACAATTCTGATCTGCATGTTACTTATACATTTTATAGTTTTCTTACATAAATGTGGACTCCCACTGACTAAAAAAAAAAGAGAAAGAGAAACAGCAAAGTTAAATAATTTACTTAAGATCAGAGAAAAATTGGATCCACCACTAAGCAAATAGCTACCTTGCACATGAGTATGACACTGTCTCACCCACAACCCACTCCACCCCCTAGCCTTGCTGAGAAACTGGCACACTGAACCACATGAGTTCTAAGAGGCAGAGCCTGTTATTAAGCTTTAATACCAACTACAACTCAATTTATATTTCTTTCTTCCACTGCTCTTTCATTCAAGAGTTTTTAGCCTTTTCTTTGTGACTGGGATCGTAAATGCTTTTTCAAAACTAACGTTGCGCTTTTACTGTACACTTATTTCACAACTTATTGTTAGATTTTTTTAAGTCAATAATCACAACAGATACTGGGCACCATTGCTGTGATAGCAGTAATAAGTCATTAAGAACATATACAAAAATTATAATTCTTTTTGGGCAATTATTACATGACCATTTTAGTGTGTCATACCTTTGTGGAAGATACCTTTGGTCTAAGAAAAGTTTTTGACATTATAAACTTTGATAGTTCCCATCCGTAGTATACAACCTGTAGTACATTAAAGTATAACTCACCTAGGGAAAAAAAGAAAGGAAAAAAATCTTAAATTAAGAAAAACTGTAAAACAGCAGTACAGCAAGTAATATACACTGATATAATCAACAGCATAATAAAGTTAAGGCTCAAGAACTAATGAAAGAGAACATAGTAAACACAGGCAAAGCAAGAAATCAAAATAACCAAAGTAAATTTTACTTTTAATGACTGTAACTGTGTCAATCTATTTGTGGTGTTATAAATGTAAAGTTTTTCATATGAACTCAATAATGTATTGGAGAAAACAGAAAAACCACATTTGTGTACCTCCCTTTTGTCATTAAGAAAAATTAGACAACTCTATTTGCGCGGTTTTTATACCGAAAATCAAAATTTCCTTCATTTCAAATTATTTGCAGTTTTTCATTTCCAAAATTTCAAAAAAAACCCCACTATACAATGAATTGAGTCTTATCACTTACTTTAAGTCTTACTGTAGGTTTTTTCTACAACATATGTTTTCCTTATTTGAGCATTATTAGGAATTTTTTTGGTAATATTGTGTTTCCCGACTTTCATAATTCTTCAATGTTTAGACAAACTAGTGAATTCACCAATTTTAAGTTAGCCAGAAGGAAAGTTTTTTAAGGTCTACAAACTTATAAATTAGAAGGTGTACTAAACTTTTTTATAGTTTGGAGGCACACAGTTTACAATGTGTAAATACTTCCACACAGTAGAAAACAAGTCGCACACACACAAATCGTGCACGATTAGAGAGCTTTTGCTCTGGAGTTCCAAAGAGGTACAAAGGTGGAAAAAACACCTATTTGAGGAATACAGTTGGCAGGTCGAAATAAAAGACGCAGACCGTTGTACGGTCAGGACTCCAGCCGCTCTCTGAAAACAAGACTGACAGTTCCCTCCTCCCAAAAGCAAATAACTGTCGCTGATGATGCCAAGTTCCTGAAATGAGACGTCAGAGGTAGGAGAGACCTCAAGAATACTTCTGGCAGACGCCCCCCCGCCCCCCCCGCCACTGCACAGGGCATATTAAGCTCAGACATTCATCCAACGTAAAGCTGCTTATCAGCGGAGCGCCGCGACGAGCCCGCGGGCCCGGCTCCAGGACAGCGCTCTGCACCCCCACAAGTCTCACCCCCAAATGGGATGGGCAGGTCGGGGGGAGGAGCGACGAGGGCCCGAGAAGCGGACTCGCGCCTTTGAACACACAACACCACAGCCGCAGCCGGGCAGTCTTACTTGCCGGGAGCTGCATCCCCTCGCGGGCGCAGGGGAGCGGAAGAGCCAAGGCCCTGCTCCAGGCGGAGGGGCAGCCACAGGGCCCTCCCCGGGATCAGCGCCGAGCCTCTCGGAGGACCCGCCTCCCGGGGACCTTCCAGACCGGTCGGCGCTTCCGCGACGCAGCCCAAAGGGCGGGGGCCGCCAACGGCGCGAGTGACTTAGGCGTTCAGCGCCCTGCCTGACCCACAGCGCGGACTCGACCTCTGTCCCTGCCTCGGACCCTGCGATGGAGGCAAGTCAGAGAAGGCCACGGAACCAATGGTTGGCGACTAGGGGGCGGGGACAGGCGGCGACCGCCGCGCGGGACCTTGAGGACCCCTTGGTCACAGGCACTCGCCGCAGCGCGCCCTTCCGGCTCCTCCTGTCGTGCGCAGGCGCGTGGGCCGAGGCGCCGGGAGTCGTCTCGCGGGGACTATGTTGCTTCCCAACATCCTGCTCACGGGTCAGGGCGCGCGGCCGGAGGGGCTGAAGGGGGGCTTGGAGAGCGCGGGCCGCGGGCTCGGAGCCTCGGGCGGGCTCGGGGCCTTCGCGCGGCGGGGCCGTTGTCGGGCCTCGTGGCGGGCTCGCGGCGGGGGCGGGGGAGGGCCGGCGCGTCGGTCCGGTGGGCCGAGGCCGGCCGCGGAGCGGAGGCGGGTGGACAGTGCCCGTCCGCCGCGCAGAGAGCCGCGGGGCTCCGGATCCGCTCCTGTTCGTGAGCGGCTGCTGTTGCTTCGGCGGCGGGGCGGTCTGTGGGGCTTCAGCGAGAGAGCGCAGGCGGCGTCTGCCCCCGGCGGTGTGTGGGCGGAGGCCCGAGGCCTTCCCGGCCGTCTGTCTTCTCGGTGCTGAGAGTCGGGTGAGGGGAGAAGGGTTCGCACGTTCGTGGCGGAGGGTGATTAATTTGCTGTGTGCGTGTGTTGTTAGCGTCCGAAGCTGTTTTCCCTTTTTTTTTCGAGAAGAAGGGGCGTCTCCTGAGCGCCTGTGGTCGCTTGTCGTGTAGAGATGCTGTGAAGCTCCCGGGCTGACCGCGGGGGCCCGTCGGGGTCTTTGGATCCGCGCTCAGGGCGCCTGTTATACGTGAGGGGCACTAAAATGCCGCCTGACGACTTGAGAAAATGTCATTGCTGGTCGTTTGACTTGGGAAAAGTTTTTTACGTTGTAGCAGCTAATAGCGTCATAGGAAAAGCTGATGGGTTTTTCTAATCTATCTGATCCATCAAGGACAAATCGAATAGGTGTAGGTGCTATGGCAACACATAGGAAAATTGAGACGCTCTTTGTGGAAACAAAGCAATAAAGTTTTATAATTTAGCAAAACATGAGCTTGTTGGCAGTGCACAAGTCCCGTCTGTTTCTGAGAGCTGCAGATCAGCCTCTCAACAAATCGACGTTTGGCCTTTAAAATTTTTTAAGGGGAAGATTTTACAATATCTGAATTGTTTGGGTCAGGCAGTGTCCTTGTTTTTTTGATATTAAGCCGTATTGTCAAAAGCAATTTTTCCATAAACAATTTCTTAATTTTTAAAAAAATTGAAATAAATGATAATTTATCTGAGATGGCTAGTTTTATTCTGGGAATTTCCATGGTGGTGGCAGGCAGTCTGAATTGGCATCAGAATCATCCAAGCCCCACTCCTCATAGACACACTGGGTGAGATTCTGACGTTCAGCATGCTTTGGGTAGTTTTGATTAGGTCATAGTGTATATGAATTCACAGAGGATTACTAATTAGGAAACTTTTCATTTCAGTTGTTAGGAACCTTAAGAAGGGCAGATGGGTGGCTAAAGTCTGATAAGTATTTCATAAACAGTATTTCTCTGTCGCTTGTCTTTCAGGTACTCCAGGGGTTGGAAAAACCACGCTAGGCAAAGAACTTGCATCAAGATCGGGACTGAAATACATTAATGTGGGTGATTTAGCTCGAGAAGGTAAGGGACACTTGTTAGATTTGTTTAAAAAAAAAATAGAGCGGAGTATTAGTACTATACTTGTGAGAGGGGACAAAAAGCAGAGAAAGATTGCCGTGAAGGAATTTATGCTCTGTTGGGGACCCATAGACATAGAGAATGTTAAGTGTCTAAATGCTGTGTCCTAGTTATTTTGACCATTACATTGCTACCCGCCCCGCCCCCATCTCCCCCCTAGTTGGCTAGTAGTTCTTGTGGACAGTAATGATTGGGAAGGCTCCCGTGAAGAGACTGGACTTAGGATAGATACATAGAACCTGAGCGTGAGGAAGAGGGAGAATGTTTTAAGATGGGTGAACGCAAAGATTTGGGTGGTGCTCAGCATATCTGTGGAGACAATGAGGATACTGGTCTCACTGGAAGGACTGGTTATTTTGAACTCAGGCACTAGGACAGGAATGTCCTGTGACGTTTTCTTAGATTAGTTTGATAGTTGCATGCCTGCACACAACTGCACGTATTCTGAAGTGAGACATGTTTTTACTTATTTTACCCCGTTTTACTCTGGTGTTTTATCACTCCCTTATGTGTGTCTTCGTATTTTTATAGTCTATAATGATTTTTACAGGGTAGAAACTTAGTAAATTTAAGTGAAGGGAACTTTATGTACCTCATTGAAATTAACAAGACTTAATATACATTTAAAAAATTTAAATACATTTTTAAAAATTTAACATATATTTAAAATTTTTAAGTTCCTGACAGTTGCTACTAAAGTAATAATTTCAGATTTGATCTAATGTACATATTTCTTTCAAATGATCTGAAGTCTGATCACCGGATAGCATGGAGTCTGGCAAGATGGCTTCTCCCAAGAGCATGCCGAAAGATGCACAGATGATGGCACAAATCCTGAAGGATATGGGCATTACAGAGTATGAGCCAAGAGTTATAAATCAGATGTTGGAGTTTGCCTTCCGCTATGTGACCACAATTCTAGATGATGCGAAAATTTATTCAAGCCACGCTAAGAAAGCTACTGTTGATGCTGATGATGTGCGATTGGCAATCCAGTGTCGTGCTGACCAGTCTTTTACCTCTCCTCCTCCACGAGATTTTTTATTAGATATTGCAAGGCAAAGAAATCAAACCCCTTTGCCATTGATCAAGCCATATTCAGGGCCTAGGTTGCCACCTGATAGATATTGCTTGACTGCTCCAAACTATAGACTTAAGTCTTTACAAAAAAAGGCATCTACTTCTGCGGGGAGAATAACAGTTCCGAGGTTAAGTGTTGGTTCAGTTACTAGCAGACCAAGTACTCCCACACTTGGCACACCAACCCCGCAAACCATGTCTGTTTCAACCAAGGTAGGGACTCCAGTGTCCCTCACAGGGCAGAGGTTTACAGTGCAGATGCCCACTTCACAGTCCCCAGCTGTAAAAGCATCCATTCCTGCAACATCAGCAGTTCAGAATGTTCTGATTAATCCATCATTAATTGGGTCCAAAAACATTCTTATTACTACTAATATGGTGTCATCACAAAATACTGCCAATGAAGCATCAAATGCATCGAAAAGAAAGCGTGAAGATGATGATGATGACGATGACGATGATGATGACTATGATAATTTGTAATGTAGCCTTGACGCTTGTAATGTGTATACTTGCTCTTGAATCCATTGTACTGAGATTAAGCATGCATGCTGATGTGTTAGAAAACTTCAGTACTATTTAATGAGTAAATATAGTTACCATACTTTTCAATTGAGATGTTGGATTCTTTTTAATAGGATTAGTAATGGTTTTTCATCAGCCGTTAAGTGTAAAAAATAAAGTTGTCATTCATCAGTTTGATTGTTGGTACTTTGACAATTATATGTTTAGAAGCACTTTCCCCCTCATTAGTAGAACAGGAGTAACAGTTGCAGTGACTTGAGGTTGTTCACGTCTATTCATTACCACTAATGTCACCAGCTGTGTAGGTCATAGTGCAGTCTGGTGTGTGAGTCACTCTTCTGGTCCGTTCTCTCAGACTGCACCAGTTTACGTCTTAACCATGTCTCCTTTTGGGTCGGCCACTTGGTCAGGATTTCTATTCAGAGTGAATCCTCATCTGTTTGGGTTTATCTTCCTCAATTGCCCACCTGCTTCCCAGGTCCAAGTTTTCTATCCCTTTGGTTATATTTAAGGACCCTTGGTGTTCCTCCCAGGATCTCCCCACTTTAAAAAATTTTTAAATGTTTTCCAGTATCCCTTTTTGCAGGTCAGTTTTGTGCATCTTTGTTGTCATATTCTTGATACTATATAAGTCAGTAGCATGCTCATGTTTTTAATTCGGCTCTGGCATTTAAATTATAGTTAATAAAATGTAGATCTTTGTTTGCTCTTGTACATAGCTAGTCAGTCTCCCTTTTATACCTTTATGAAATCTGTTTTGTTTGCCTGTTGAACTTTACAGTTTTCAACAAGTGATTTCAGAGTCACATACTCTGGTCAGTGTCAGTCATGTCTTCCAGTTCTGATCTGGCCCACTCAATTTAACATTTCTAAACAAAGTTGCTGTATAATCTCATGAGTAGCATTGAGAGTAACAGTAACACTAGACCACTGGGTCCTCTTCCTGTACTCACACCATTTTAGCCAGTTGTGTGTCTTCCTAATGGTGTTTAGTCCTAACCATCCTTTTTGTATTTTATTGATGAGATGATTTCAGGAGGTGGAATGGAAGCCTTAAGGGAGAAGTGTTGGTTTCTTTCCCTCCTATAATGCCAGATGAAAGATTTCTGGTCTGACTTGTCATGGTGTTAGTTGAGGTACTTTACAAGGTTTCTCATAATGTACCAGTTTTTTTTTTTTGTCCCAGATGCCATTTGAATATCTGGAAATTTTACTAGGAAATATTCTGAGACGTCCAGCTGCCTCCTTTTTTTCAGTGTGATACCTGTTAAAGGAAAGCATGCGATCCTATAAAGCAGTGGTTTTCAACAAGGGCTGACTTTGGCTTTCAGGGGACATTTGGCAACTTCTGGAGACGTTTTTGGTTGTCATGACTGGGTTTGGGGTTGTTGCTACAGATATCTAATGGGTAGAGGCCAGGGATTCTGCTGAATGCCCCATGGTTCACAGGACAGCCCTCCATCCCATAACAACTATCAGACCACAGTGTCAGTAGTGGCTTCAGTTGAGAAACCCTGCTCTAAAGAAATGAGACTTAAAACTAGTTTTAAACAAATAGCTTAAGTGGAATTTATTGCCATCCTAGTAATCATGTTGAATTGCTGTATTTGTAAGAGACCATCCTAAGCCATTTGGGACCAAGGCAGGAAAAATTAGGTGGGGAATTAGCTTAAAACTAATGGGAGTCCTAAGGGGTGTGACTAAGAAAGCTTTTCTGTACCTGCTTGTGCCGTCTCTCAGATTCCTCCTCGCTGCTGCCCTTCCCCTATGCAGTCATCAGTTACACTTTACCAGCGTCAGTAACTTTCCTGCCATCAGTTTATAATCTTCAGGCTCTGTTGCAACCCCAGGATGCCCATAGGTCTAGACAAGTAATGTAGCTACGTTGATGTCGGATCCATTCTAATAGAGGTTGCAAAGCATAGCTGGCCCTCAATACTTGTAATCTTCATCTGTTTCTAACCCAGGAGTCTACAAGCTGCTGCTGTTCTTATAGGAACCACTAACTAAGGACTAGCCCACAAAACCTGAAGTATTTACTCTCTGGCCCTTCATAGGAAAAGTTTGCCATCCCTGCCCTAAACCCGGTGTATCCTGTTTTTTTCCCTCTACTGAAAGCTACTACTGGAAGCCTTTGAAACTTACTTCTCTATGGGCCTCTCACCACATACCTTGTTCCCCGTGATTTCACTGCAGCCATCTTGTAATTCTGCCCCTCCCTCTAGTAATCTGATTCACTCAGGCCTAGTCACTCCTTTTTGCTGATGACTCTTAAATTTATAGTTAAAGCTTAGCCCAATTTCTAGACATGGACTAACTGTACCATTTGGATAGTTCCCAGACACCTCCAAATTAATATGTTTAGAAGGCACCTGCTCTGAAGTCATCCCTGACTACCTGCCCACTCCTGGTTCCTGTCCCCTACACATACAAACATGTTCACACTGCACTTGACCTCTAAACCAGGATAGTTTGAAGAATCCCCCTGGTGCCCCATCCCATTCCTGAGACCACTGGGGCTGTGTCCCTACGATGCCTCATCCCATTCCTAAGACCATTGGGGCTGAATTTCCTACTTTTTTTAGTATCCCTTCTACACCATCATTATGTCCTAAAAAAAAAAAAGGAGAGAGAATAACATGACTTGAACTTTTTACTGGTAAGGTCCTGCTCCTTAATGAAGTATAGGAGATTATGAACTGGCCTCAGTTTACCATCAGCCTTAGCTTGCGGCCACTGCCCTACGTCTCTTCAGTCCACCCACAGTGCACTGTTGCTCAAACACTGGGAATTTTCCGCTTCCATGCCTTTATACATGCTGTTCCCTTTACCTGTAGATGCCCTTCCTTCTCTGCCTTACAGACAACTCTGAAAGGCCCAACTCAGATGTCCCATCTCTGGCACCCTCTAACTTGTCTGAGCATAATTCATTGCTCTTCTCTCTACGTAGAAGGCCAGGTATCAAAGCACTCAATCCTAAACCAATTAATGTCTTGTACTAATTGCATTACAGTTGTAAGCTTCCTGTTGGATTGAGGTAAATGTGGCAAATGTGTTTCTAAAGGAAGGAATCTGAAAACGTTTTAAGTATTGGCAACAGCATCAAAATAGATAACCAGCACCCCAGTATCGTTAAAGAACAACTTTCAGGGGAATATGTAATAAATTCTAGGATGGCAGTTAAAGAAAACATCATGGTTTTATAGCTTGACTAATAACAGCTGGAAAGGTCTTTCAAGGTAAGAACTCAGCCTTTTAACTCTGGCCCCACAATCAATTTTTTTCTCCAAGTAATATATATTTAAAGAAATCATAAAACTTTGTTTAGAAAATTGATTTAATTTTCTAAGCTTTGGTGATTGAATCAAACCTTTTCATCTTTGCCAGATTAAGATTCTGTGTATAGACAATTATAAATTTGAATTCTAATTGGAACTTTCTAAAGTAGCATAACTTTTTTCTCTTTTTTTGAAATTTGAAGTGAAGTTTAGAATCCATCCATTTCTCTCCATTCCCTACCATACAGGTTATGGTCCTCACTCACCTAAAATTCTGCAGTACCTTAATATGCTATCCGGGCTTCTGGATTTGCTTCCTTCCAATTTGTTCTCCCACAGAAACCAAAATGATTTTTAAAAATTTGAAATTGATCATGTCATCTGCTTAAAATGCTTTAATGATTTTCCTTTGTCTTAGGACTTTATCCTAAGTCTAAGGGCCTAAAGCCTTCAAGGCCCTTTTTGATCTGGCCTCAGTTTACCTGACCCCTTACCACCTATTTTCTGGTTCTGAAAGACTTCCCTCGCATGAAAGTCCCTCTGCCTTTGAATAGCCCGTTTTCTCTGTTGAGAATAGTCTTCCCTACCTTTTTGCCCTCCTTAACTGCTTCAAGTCTCCGCTTAGAGGCAACTTCCTCCAGGAAGCCTCCCCTGATATCCCACGTTTATGTTCCTAATGTAATAGCTGTCCAAATAGCTATTGCTCCTATGGCACCATGGACCATAATGTTACAATATTATGTAATATATTTTGCTCTCTCATTCTGTTGTAAGCTCTCTGAGGAAAGGACTGTGGGTCTTCTGTTCATTTGTTCCCTATTGTGTCCTCATTACCCTGCAGTCACTGGCACATGGTGTTTGATAAATGAAAGTTTGAAATGAATGTTTGAAAGCTTGCATTACAGTATTTTATTAAAACATATTAACATGATTTAAGAAATGCTGCATTTCAGCATTGCAGTATCAAGACTTTAATTCTGAAAGTGAATATTGCAGTAGTTGTATTTCAGGCAGCATATGTTTTTAAAGATTTCACTACTCTTTTCAGAGTCAAATATTTAAAACATGAAGGAACCTCAGCATGTATCTACTCCAGACTCCCACACAGTACAGAATCAGCTGTAGATATTCTCAGATTTTGTGGCATTGTAAAAAAAACAGTATTGTAAAAATAATACACAGGAAAAGTACTCCACATTCTAACTTATTTCCATCTTTGTTTTTCTTCTAATCTCTGCCCCATTGCAGACAACTTTGAATTCTGCTTTTTTATATTTTACAGCTCATATCATAAGCGTTTATCATGTTGCTACCTAGTCTATACTACGTAGTGTTTTTTAACTACCTAATACTTATTTCCTTAACTTTATTTAATTACATATTTCATGAAGTTGGTAAACCAAGATTTAACTATTTCCCTATTGTTGAACATTTTTTATCATTTTATCACTTATATATTTTTTTCTGTTTAGAAATTAAATAGTAGAGGAAATCTCTGAATGGGTATGACTTTATTTTTTTTATTTTATTTTTTTTTCTAGGAAATGTGTTTTGTTTCAATTATCAATGAGAAAGAAACATTTTTTCATAATAACTGGTAAAATAATTCAATATAAATGCAACGAATTCAGTGTAGGACAATTGTCATTTTTCCATTAGGATGTGTCAATCAAATACACTTACTAAGACATTAGAAGTTGAAAACTGTCACTTTAGGTCAGCGTTGCAAACTGGTGGTGCTGTGTTTTGTTTGGACTGCACAATGTCGTTTCTTTAAAAATCAGACTTGAATACTTTTTTAAGTGTGGCATGTAATCTCTAATAGACCATGGACCCTACCACTCTGGACTGTTTTATGGTCAGCATGATCATTTATTTGCAAAATGGAATCTATTGAGTATTCAACTCCCACATTGTATCCAAGGCAACAATGTAATCATGGGCAACAAATATGACCGTAATCAAACGATCCAGAATATATCTGTATTCATTGTAGGGCTTTTGTTTGTTTGCTTTTGTTTGAATGGGTATGACATTTTAAAAATTATTTTTAAAATACATTTCCAGAGTCAATTTACTATTTACATGTATAACTAATATAACAGGCATAAAAAGGCTCATTTTAATTTGCATCTCTTTAATAGCTGGGAAAGTCCAACAGTTTTTCATGTTTGTTTATGAGTTATCTTTTATCTTGTGTGAATTCTTATTCTTTGTTAAACTACTTATTTATATCTTGATTTTTAAGGCCTTCGTATAATTTACATTTCAGTCCTTTGTCCTACTACAACATATTTCTCCCAGTCTGTTCTTTTTCTTTTTTTTAAATTCAAGTTATAGTATTTTTCATTGAATGGAGATTTAACATTTTCTATGTTTGAATTAGTCGTTTTATTTCTTCACAAACTTAAATGAATCATTCCTTTATAGCTGAGATAAATTTCCACTGGTTATCTTTGGAATTAAGAAATTAGCTCTAGCTCCGCCTAGAGTTTGTGGTGTGAAGTGAGAATTTAGATTGTTTTCTAAATTGTTAACCAGTTTTCCCCACACCAAGACAGTTTTCTTTTTTAGGCTGATAGAGTTTCTGGTAAGTGAGCAGGAACCCAAGGAGGGGGAGGCCACACTGCGGGGTGGAGAGGTGGCTCGCGTGCCCAGGGTCAGTCCACGGACCCTCCCGGTGAGACCGAGTTACAGCTGCCTCTGTGCCTTCCACTAGCCCTCAGGACTGCCCTTTGTCACTGCAGAGCTCATGCTCCCTTTAACCTAGTTTCAACCTATGCTGAAATATTAAGGGGAAAGAGGTGCTTTTAGAGATGGCTAAAGGATGAGCTAAGCCTGCCTTATTACAACCTCCTGGGGATTCAGGGGAGGGTGGATTGATATGGCTCACCTTTTGAAGTAAGGCTTCCCTTGAAAGCCAGCTCTGGTTTGTCGGAAAGTTCTTATGTTAGATTGAAGTCTGCCTTCTTTATAATTGCTCATCATTCTTGTTTTGCCTTTTGAAATAAGACATTTAACCTTTGGCTTTTTGGGATACTGGAAAACTACAAGATACTGTTCAGGAGCATCTGGGTACTGACTTTCCTTCCCCAAACCCCATGAGGATGTGACTTCAGTGACAGAGGGTGCATTTCTAGAATTGAGAACCTGTTGTTGCCTTGAATAAGTTCCCATGCCCTTGGCCTAATAAATTTGGGGCTTACTCTCCTGTTAATGTGTGTGAGAATGTATCTGTGTGTCCCTCTTCCCACCAATCTGTAGCTCAACAAAAATAATGCAGTCCTCTTCTGCTAATAGCCTCAAAAATTCTGCAGTTGGCTACTACTCATTCTTTCTAGTTGGCTTCAATTTTGACAGCTAAGATGGTCTCGGACATATTGCGATCCAAGTTGCCCTCTAGACAAAACTCAGATTTACCCGCATGGCTCTTTATATTTGGTATCCAAGTCACATCTATTGTGTTAGTGCCCTCTTTGTCTCTGAAAGAGTACTTGATGATGTATTTCCTTTCCTAGAGTCTAGAATTAATTGAAAATTGCAGTTACTTAGAAAATACTGCTTTAACAAGGCAACATAAATCTCTTCTAGGGCAGCTGTATGATGGCTATGATGAGGAGTACGATTGTCCCATTTTAGATGAAGATAGAGTAAGTGCAATTTTTTAATAAAGTATACTTTTTTTTTTTTTGGTGAGGAAGATTGTCCCTGAGCTAACATCTGTGCCTGTCTTCCTCTATTTTGTATGTGGGACGCCACCACAGCATGGCTTGCTGAGCGGTGTGTAGGTCTGCGCCCGGGATTCGAACCCGCGAACCCCGGGCCGCCAAAGCAGAGTGGGTGATCTTAACTACTACCTCACCAGGCCAGCCCCAAGTATACATTTTATTTTAACTTGATAGGAAAGTTGACCCCAGTTTTTTTAAAGAGTGTTGTTTTTTTTCCCTTTCTCACAGGTGGTTGATGAGTTGGAAAACCACATGCGTGAAGGTGGAGTTGTTGCTGACTACCATGGTTGTGACTTCTTCCCTGAACGCTGGTTTCATATAGTCTTTGTGCTGACAACAGATAACAGTGTATTGTACAAAAGACTCGAAACAAGGTAAGAAAGGAAAACATTGAATTCTTAAAGTGTTATATAAACTTTCATTCAGATCCTGAAATTGGCCAATACTACCACGATAAAGGGCTCTGTGTGAAAACGTGACTACTTTATTTGGTCTTTCATTATAAACCACATCTGTATGGTACCAACATTCTGCGTTTGTAAGACATGGGCAGTGGCTTATGACTGAGGAATGAAGGCCTCGGCTGACGGGTGGACTCACTAGAGTGTACCGTATCGCAGCCCTACGTGGTCATGCTTTTTCCCTAGTGTGAGACCTTGCTAGGAAGACAGACAAGCCAGTAACATATTCTTTGCTATTGAGTGAATATTACCAGCTGAAATTATCCTCACAACAGGAATGGGAGAGCCCATGAGAAACTAACAGGATAAATCAACATTTCACAACCTTTAAAGCATTTTTGAGTTAGTCCCTCCAAGAGAGCATCAGACTTGATCCAGAATAACCAAAAAAAGAAATTTTTATGGAAAACATTTTTCCATTGTCTTTTTTTAAAAATATTTATTTATTTATTTATTTTATTGTGAGGAAGATCAGCCCTGAGCTAACATCCATGCCAATCCTCCTCTTTTTGCTGAGGAAGACCGGCCCTGAGCTAACATCTATTGCCAATCCTCCTCCTTTTTTTTTTCCCCAAAGCCCCAGTAGATAGTTGTATGTCACAGCTGCACATCCTTCTAGTTGCTGTGTGTGGGCTGCGGCCTCATCATGGCCGGACAAGCCGTGCGTCGGTGCGTGCCCGGGATCCGAACCCCCGGGCCGCCAGTAGCGGAGTGCGAGCACTTAACCGCTAAGCCACGGGGCTGGCCCTCCATTGTCTTTTGATTCAAAGTGTGGGAAGGTGGGGCTTCTAAAGGAATTTTGAGGGCAGTCCCACCATTGGATGAGATACTTGCAAAATCCTTGCACAGAGGAAAATAGTAGTAAATATATAGGGAGAGTTAGGTTGGAGCTAGATCTAAAATGTTCATTATCTTTCTTTAGGTAGTGAAAGCCATTGAAAGTATTTGAACAGAGAAGTAATAGAGGCCATGTGGTACATATGCCTTTTCTCAAAGAAGACAATTTAAAATTTTTATTAAAAATCACTGTTTTATGTAAATAGCCAAAGATTGACTAAGGTATAAAAAGACTGAGAGACAACTAGTTTTTTTGTTTTTAGCCATTGAAAAGTTACAAAGTAATTGCCTTTAAAAAAAAAAAAAAAAAAGCTTTATTGAGGGGCCGGCCCAGTGGCGCAAGCGGTTAAGTGCACGCACTCCGCTGCGGCGGCCCGGGGTTCGCTGGGTTGGATCTCGGGCGCACACCGACGCACTGCTTGTCAAACCATGCTGTGGCAGCCTCCCATATAAAGTGGAGGAAGATGGGCACGGATGTTAGCCCAGGGCCAGTCTTTGTCAGCAAAAAAAGAGGAGGATTGGTAGATGTTAGCACAGGGCTGATCTTCCTCACAAAATAAATAAATAAATAAATAAAATTTAAAAAAATGCTTTATTGAGATAAATTCACATAGCATACAGTTCATCCATTTGAAGCATACAGTTCAGTGGTTTTTAGTATATTCACAGAGTTGTGCATCAATTACTACAACCAATTTTAGAAAATGTTCATCACTCCTCCCAAAAACCCATACCCATTAGCAGTCACTCCCCATTTCCCCGCAGTCCCTGGCCCTGGGCAACCAGTAATGTACTTTCTGTCTCTGTGGATTTGCCTGTTCTGGACATTTCATATAAATGAAATCATCCAATATTTGGTCTTTTGTGTCTGGCTTCTTTCACTTAGCATAATATTTTCAAGGTTCATCTGTGTTGTAACGTGTATCAGTACTTCATTTCTTTTTATTGCCAAATAATATTCCTGCTACATGGCTATACCATATTTTATTTATCCATTTATCAGATTACAGACATTTGAATTGTTTCTGATACCGAACCAAGTGGGCTCGTCTCCTGCTGCGTTAAATAAGACTCTACACCAGTGGAAGTTGTCTCACAAAGTAAAGAGTATTTGCAGCAAATAGGAGGCCATGAGGAATCATTTCCAAAGTCATGGCATCCCCAAACAAAGGGAAGCAGGAACTTTTATTTTGGTTGGGGAATGAATATTCAAAAGGGAGAGGCAGGTACACTGCAGATTATGGTAATAAGGCTTAATCTCCTCCTGAGGAGATCTTCACATTAAAAATAAGGCAAGGTCATGGGCATCGCTCTTGTAGGGAGGCTTGGTTAGCTTCAGGGTGGTTGCTGGTTGTGTCTCCTTAACATAAAAAAACAACTTGGAAAAACAGTTAAATGCTTCCAAACCCACCCTTGAGTTCCTCGGAGCACTAGTTGGTGATATTTCTACTTTTTGGCTATTATAAATGATGCTGTTGTAAACATTTGTGCACACGTTTTTGTGTGGACATTATGTGTTCATTTATTTCGGGTATGGAATTTCTCTAGGAATGGGATTGCTGGGTGATATGGTAACTATTTTTAGCCTTTTGCGGAACTGTCAGACTGTTTTCCAAAGTGGCTGCACCATTTTACGTTCCCAAGAGTAACCTGTGAAGGCTCTCGTTATCTCCACATCCTCGCCAGCACTTGTTATTATCTGTCGTTTTGCTTGTAGCCATCCTGGTGGGTGTGAAGTATTGTTTTGATTTGCATTTCCCTCATGGCTAATGATGTTGAGCATCTTTTCATGTGCTTATTGCCCATTTGTATATCTTCTTTGGAGAAATATCTATTCAGATCCTTTGCCCAATTTTTAATTGGTTATTCATCCTTTTTTATTAAGTTATAAGAGTTCTTTATGTATTTTAGATGCAAGTCCTTTATCAGATACATGATTTGCAAAAATTTTCTCCTATTCTGTAGGTTGTCTTTTTATAAAGAACACCTTTTAAGTAGTTCAGTTTAATTTTGATTGTTACAAGGTTTAACTACTTTGAATTTAGATTTTCCTTATCTTTTTCGCTGGCTAATTAATTGGCTAATTTACATATCTGCCTAAAGATTACATAAGTTAATTTTTCTCAGTGTCTTTGCAATTGGTAAAGTACAGATCCATCTGTGTGATCAAGTGCCCAGTTACTCTATAGTATTCCTGTCACATGCATCTCATTGTATTATATGCCACCTATTTGTTTTATCTGTCTGTATCCTAACTCCTCTCACTCTTTTGACGTCTAGGACCATAGCTATAGATTTCTTATCTATCTCGTAGCTCAGAATCTGGCTTGAGGTAGGTAGATATGTTTGCTAATTGAGTGGCTGACAAATTGTGGTGGAAAAAATTCAGACAAATCTAAACATTGGTCCTTAGTTTAACCCTCTTGTCAAAGAAGTCTTTCATATTTACGGGTCCCTGTCTATTTTCTCCAGGTAAAGAAACCACAAGAAGTATTTTTGCGTGGTTTTTCATGTGTTCAAAAGTGTCTAGTTTCTGGTATGTTCCTGAAACTCCAGTTAGTGCCATTCAGGTTGCTTACCTTCTCTTTGCCTTCTAGGGGTTATAATGAGAAGAAACTTAAAGACAATATTCAGTGTGAAATTTTTCAAGTTCTTTATGAAGAAGCATTAGCATCCTACAAGGAAGAAATAGTGCATCAGCTGCCCAGCAATACACCAGAAGATCTGGAAGATAATGTCAATCAGATATTGAAATGGATTGAGCAGTGGGTCAAAGATCACAGCTCTTGACTGACAAGACTGGCCACTTTGCAATCACTCTTGATGTCTCTCTGCCCACATCATATAAATTGTCCAGTTATCAGTAAAACTGTTTGAAGATGATCTCTTAAAATAAAGCTTAAGACTAAACATAAAGCATCAGAGTTTTCCATTTGTCTTTCTTTCTTTAAATTAACAAAAAGGGAATTCAAAAGGTGCAAAGGTACACTGGGAAGGTCGGCTTCCCTCCCAGGTGCCTGTTCTTTAGCCACCAGATGCCAGTGTCTAATTCGGTAGCATTTTCATCACCCCACCCAAAAGCAGTCCGCACCCGTTAGCAGTCCTTTCCCATTCTTCCCTTCTCCCAGCCCCTGGCAATCACTAATCCACTTTGTCTCTATGGATTTGCATATTCTAGACATTTCATATAAATGGGATCATACAATATGTGGCCTGGCTTCTTTCACTTAGAATAATGTTTTCAAGGTTCGCCACGTTGTAGCCTGTGTCAGTGCTTCATTCCTTTTTATGGCTGATACTCCACTGTATGTCTAGACCACATTTCGTTTATCCATTCCATCAGTTGCATAATTGGGTTGTGTCCACTTTGGGTATTATGAATTATGCTATGAATATTTGTGTATAAGTTTTCGTGTGGATGTACATTTTCAATTCTCTTGGGTATACACCTAGGAGGGAAATTGCTGGGTCATATTGCAACTGAGTTCAAGTTTTTGAGGAAATACCATACTGTTTTCCAAAGTGGTTGCATTATGGTACATCCCACCATCCATGTATTGGATCTAATTTCTCCACATCCTTGCCAACACTTCCTACTGTTCATCTGATAGCCATCCTGTGGATGCACAGCCATATTCATTTTGTTGTTTTTTTTTAAATAATTTTATTTATTTATTTTTCCCCCAAAGCCCCAGTAGATAGTTGTATGTCACAGCTGCACATCCTTCTAGTTGCTGTATGTGGGATGCAGCCTCAGCATGGCCGGAGGAGCGGTGCGTCAGTGCGCGCCCGGATCCGAACCCGGGCTGCCAGCAGCAGAGCGCGCACACTTAACCACTAAGCCACGGGGCCGGCCCTCATTTTGTTTTGATTTACATTTCCCTAATGGCTAATGATGTTGAGCCTCTTTTCATGTACCTATTAGTCGTTTGTATATCTTCTTTGGATCCCTAATCTTTTTAATGTTTGTATAGAATTCCATTAAGGATGTGCTATGATTGGTTTAATCCCATCCCAGTCCCCTGTTGATGGACATTTAGGTTGTTTCCAGCTTTTTACTATTAGAAACAATGATGCAAGAATGATAAGAAAGAATAACACATATTTTACTATGTGCCAGGCACTCTTTTAAACACATTCAAAAGTGAACTCTCTTAATCCACGTGACTACTCTCTGAGGTAGGTGGTATTATTATTTCCACTACAGGTGATGGAACAAAGGCACAGAAGGGTTAAGTGACTTACCCAGGATCACAGCAAGGAAGTATCAGAGTTAGGATTCCATCCTAGCAGGCTCTTACCATTAAGTTGTGCTGCCTCATGTGTGTGTAGCTTTGCACATGAGCAAGTTTATCTGTGGGACATTCCTGGAAGATAAGTTGTATGCAAACATAACATTTAGTAGATTCATTATAATAAACATAGATTGCCTATCATATGTGCAAGACTCAAGCAAATCACTGTGGCGGGGAAGACCTCCCAAGGTAAGCTCTTGACCTCCAGATGGTCTCAACCTGGTACACAGAGAAGATATGCACACACATGGACCCTTGAGACAAATAGGATATATGGTGAAAAATGCCCTAATGGAGATTCTAACATAATGTCAATGCGAATAACCAATAATCAATCTATAGATCAAAATAGAGGTGAGTTTAATATATGAACCAGTTTGGAGGACTGTAGCCCCCGAGAGCAAGCTCCACTGGGGCAGGAAGCACCCGGAGGAGCGAGGTGTATGGCGTGGTTAGATACTGTTTTGGAACAAGGAACATCAAACATGACAGGAATACTTTTTTTTTCTTTTTATTACAAAAGCTGTTTTGCTGTGTACACAGCAGGTCAATCTGACACTGGTTTCTGGGAAGGAATGCTTATCTTCAAAGAAATGCTGATCTGTGAGGGAGGCTTTCATCCCTATCTTTAAGGGCATCACTCTTGGCTTTGGGACACTGTAAATGTTTATAGCAGATGTACAATGCATGCTTGATAGGCTACGTCAGGCCATGCTGGAAAAAGAAGTTCAGGCTGAATCAGTTGTAAACCAAATGGCTTTCTCATATACCACAATCTATGTTACCTTTTCTTATTCCTTTTCATTTATTCCATCACTGTGAGAGAGGACAAGAGATACAAGCGATTTTCTATGAGTATCAGAAGAGGATAAATGATATGGGATGCAGTCCTTGTAGAATGGGTGTGGAGGTAGAGAAGGATTCCTTAGGCCAGGGTAATATCACAAAGGTACTCCCCAGTACCACCTGGGGCCAAATTGTGGATAAAACGAGGACGGTTACTCGCAGGGCTGTTGTAAGTGTCGAGTGAACAGTGCTCGGCACATAGGAAGCACCACATATGTTTCTGTTATGTTCAGTGGTGCTAATGGCTGTTGTGAGAAGACGGTATTCTCTTCACTATTGGGATAAACTAAATTCCCTGGCCTATCAAGTGATTACTAGTTGTCTTAATGCTAACACTGACTCATAATCATAGACAAGATTTTCCTTCCACAGAAGGAGATAGTGGAGCCTAGCAAAGACCTACACCTTTGGGAATTTGTGGTTATTAATATCCTCACTAATTTCAGTCCTAGGTTTTCATGTGACACTAGTGACAATGCTTTAACATCTTACAGTTGTTTGAAGAAGGTCTTAAAAATAATCCCATTTACTGTTTGTCTCTGGTTTTATTCAAACCTACTTCCTAACTTTTTATTTAAATAGGCTGATTTAAACCAAACTTGAGATAAAAATATACCAAATTTTTAATCTTTTTATATTTATGTAAATGAGACAATATGATTTATTCAGTTTCTCAAGAGCACCTTAGGATAACAAGCTTGATACATGCATAACCAGTGAGTGTTTCTCTTATGCCCTTCTTGGTATATTTTTATTTTTGTGGGCTTTGACTTAGTGATTTGGCCTTACTTCATCTATATTTTTTCTGCATTCTAAGCAAGTCCTACCACCAAACCCTACCAAGATTTATATTTGCCTGTCTTTAACACAAAAGTTGTAATAGGGGCCAAAACTGTTGAGAACCATTTATTCTTTCCCGTGGAGGGGAGAGAGAGCAAGGTGAAAAAAAATCACTGGGGCCGGCCCGGTGGCGTAGCAGTTTAGTGTGTGTGCTGCGCTTTGGTGGCCTGGGGTTCCCAGATTCGGATCCTGGGTGCGCACCGATGCACTGCTTGTCAACCATGCTGTGGTGGCGTCCCATACAAAGTGGAGGAAGATGGGCACAGATGTTAGCCCAGGGCCAATCTTCCTCAGCAGAAAGAGGAGGATTGGTGACAGATGTTAGCTCAGGGCTAATCTTCCTCACAAAAAAAAAAAAAATCACTGTTCTTTAACTTTCATTGCTGTATATGTGAAAAACAGTATCGTGAAAATTCTTTATATATACCTAGGCTTTTACTCAAAATTTAGTTCCTTAACCCTTTTGACGACATAAATCCCTTTGACAGTCTGATATAAGCTATGAACCCATTTCCTCCTAGAAAATACAGATATACATATTAATATAAAAAGTTGCTTATGTTTTTCAGATTCACCGACCCCTGAAATGCATCCAGAGGTTTGTTGTTTAAGGGGTTTTTTTTTTTTTTTTTTTAAAGATTTTATTTATTCATTTTTTTCCCCCCAAAGCCCCAGTAGATAGTTGTATGTCATAGGTTCGCCTCCTTCTAGTTGCTATACGTGGGACTCGGCCTCGGGTTAGACGGAGAAGTGGTGCCTTGGGGTGTGCCCGGGATCCGAACCCGGGCCGCCAGCATCAGAGCGCGCGCACTTAACCGCTAAGCCACGGAGCCGGCCCTAAGGGGTTTGTTTTTATGGAAAGGAGGATTCTAAAAATAATTTGTTAAACAAGACTAGTGAATAAAAAGCACACTGGTCATTCCACAGTTCCTAGCCAGTGCATTAAGCAAGAAAATAAATGAAAGACATACAGAGCTGAAAGGAATAAATAAACTATTCTCAGTCATGATTATCTATGTAGAAATGCCAAAGAGAATCTACACAAAAGCTACTTGAACTAATAAGTGACTTTAGCAAGATCACAGGATACAAGACCAATACACAAAAGTCAACTGCATTTCCATATAGCAGTGTTGCTGAGCAAGGGCTTGCAACCCAATGTGCGCAGAAGCCAATACTATGGCACCAGTTTTTGAGACAAGAAAGAGCTTTATTGCAGGGTCGACCAGCAAGGAGACAGGAGGCAAGGCTCAAATCTGTCTCCCCAGGCTGAAGTGCGGACAGACTTTTAAGGAGTTGGAAGTAGAAGTGGTTATGTAAAAGGCTAGCTTGGCAGAATCTGATTGGGTGGTGGGAGCGTAAAGATCTTGTAAGTCCAGTGTGCTACAAATCAAGGGACCCCTTGCTTCTCATTAGGTTCCCTGTGCCACTTTTACGTCATGTTGAGTTCTGTGGTCAGGGAACTTTTTGGTCTTGGTGCTGCTCTCCGTCATCTGAGGACAAGGTTTCCATCTTCTGCACATGCTCTGTGAAAAAACAACTTACAAAAACATTTTAGCGAAGGAAGCATGTTCTAAATTGGACTAAACTGTAATGCGTAATTCTGAGGTGGTTTCAGTAGTGACAAACAATTGGAAATTAAAATTAAAACAACAATACCATTTACAATAGTACCAAAAGCATGATGCACTTAGGTATAAATCCAACAAAACGCACAAAATCTGCATACTGAAAATTCAAATGAGAGAAATCAAAGATCCAAGTAGACGGACATACCATATTAATGAATTCCAAGCTCAATGTTATTAACTTGTTAGTTTTCCCCAAACTGATCTATGAATTCAATCCCAATCAAAATCCCAGCATACTCTTTTAAAATAAAAATTAATAAGATGATTCTAAAAT